AGATGACAAAAACAATTTAAGTACCTAAATAAATGGTATTTAAAGAGCAGCTCCTCTCTCCAAGTTTAATAAATGAAGGTTTAATAAAAAAGAAAATATTTGGAAGACTACATGAACAGAGAGACTCACTTTCCAGAGTTGGCTCCTTTCATGTGGTCTGTGTAGATGTAGATGTCAGGAAGGAACTTGTTCAGGACGCTCCTGGCTGATTCTACAATCCTGTTTCCCATCTGAGGAGAAACTCGGACCGAATATCTGAGAGTAAAAGTCAAGGAGCTCCAACATTTAGTGAGTAAATACTTAAATCAATTAGCCTGACGTAGTCCTACTCAATTCTAGTCAGAATATGAGTCTGATACTGCTCCATAGAGCTGTGATTATGGGGCGTGTTTTGAACGGACCAGGAAAAAAAATGCCTCTGCACTCAATTGGATAGACCTACAACCAATAAGAGCAACGGAGTGCGTGACGTATGTTAAGCCAGGCATAGTTGTTGTCAACAAAAATCAAAGCGTGCAGTTGCGCACCTAGAATAAGAAGAGGGTGGGCGATCATACTCGCGCTACTATGGAGCAGAGCCAGACCGAACTTCCCGACCTCAAACCTTGTGGGCGGGACTAAGTTCGGAATGGCACCCAGGCTATAAATCAATGCTAGAAAACAAAATTATTAGGAGAAAAAAAACAGGAACCACCTTTAGCAGCAAGAAACACTTTCATTCATCATCACCATGGTGTTTTAATCCAAAACAGAAATTGTGGTACTAGATTAACATTAGAGCAATCGTTCTTTGTTAACGTATCATATAAATGCAAACCAAAAGAAAAAAGAAAGAAATTAGCCAGAGAAGGATACGCCACTCCTCGGATTCTCTTGATCTTTCCTGGCTCGGTCAGCTGCACTGGCCTGATGGTTTTGCGGACTGGACACGTAAAGACTACTTCTCCTCCTCCACCAGGTGCCATCCCTCTCTTCACCACCTGAGGGAGCAGCAGCACGGCAATAGTCAAAATAGGCTTGCTCACATGGGTGTATCCTCATGCATTTGCTTTTGTATGCAAATGCATTTCCTGCAAAAGACGATTCCGCCATACTGTTCCTGTTAATGCAGTACCAAATCCCTCACCTTCAGATCGAATGATTCTCCATCGATTCCAAACTTCTTCATCAGAGGAAGAGCTGTGGACTTCAACAGGTCAACCTAGAGGATAAAGAGCCAATAATAACAATAAGATGATGCATATTTAGCTTATTAACTTGAAAGGGAAACAAAAGAAATGAGGTAAATAATTAAGTCTCCATATAAATGACATTTCTACAACAGGGACCAGGCAGTTGCAGAAGCATAGGACTGTAACCCAAAACAGTGAGAAAAGGTCAGCATACAGGCAGACAAGGACACTGGAGACAATGGAAAATAAATCTTTCATGCAAACCCATTAGCCCTGTTAAACAGCTTTGAATGGTTGCATTTACAAGTCATCTTCTCTATCTGATCAATTACCAAGAGTTTGGACTTGTAGTCAGGTTTTACAGCAAACATCAGTTACGTATAGTTTAGCTCATGAACACGGCGTTTCTGCACATATTCAGAGTTCTCCGTTCTTTACATCCATTTCATGATCCAAAATACAAAGCTCACATAGAGTTTATGGCAAAAATATAACTAAACTAACCAAGAAAAAAAAAATGAAGGTCAAAGATGAAAGATTAAATAACTGAAACTAGTTCTGGGTAATACAGATAATATAATGATATGTATTTATATATACACACACAAACACAATAAATACAATACAAAAAATCCAATCTTTGATTCATTTTCCCCTTTTAAAAGGTGACCAAGTATAAGCTGTTAAACTATGTTTCGCAACAAACAATAAAAATATAATAAACTAAATGAAGGCTGCACAAATTCAGCTAGTTTATCAGTTATAAGTACACATCTAGGAAACAAAAAGTGATTAAATAATGTCACTTTGATCTATGGAAGCCCAAGAAGTGCATTAATGAAAACAGAAAATCTTCATAAAAATTAATTATGATTCATCAATCACCCAGCTCTAGTTCCAACAGAAGGAAAACTGGATAAAATCTGCTAATATAAACAATTTTAAGAAATGTCTTTGTGTTGTACTTAACCAGACCAAATTAAACGTTTGCATATGTTTTATGACTATGTTGAAGCCCTAATGAAGTGATCAGGAAATAAACCTTCCATAGAGTTCAAACTTACCGATGGATCAATGGGATCATTTGTTACGCCCCTCAGATTTGCCTTTAGAGGATTTTTCATAAAAGGGGCCAGCATAAGCAGAGCCTCCAGATAGTATCCTATTGAACGCTGGGGATTACATTCATGTTCCACAGAGCCTCCATACAGCAAGCCAGGCTGGTAGAATAACACAGTACCTAATGGACACATTGAAAATAAGATACTGACATAGATTGCAACCAAACAGGATATTTTAAACAAATCATTTAAGTGAGAAAGATAAAGTGTCTTAATGTTAATGCTTACCAGTTTGATTTATCTCTATTCTGGAGCCATTGGTGACTTTGTCCAAAAGTCTGATGAAGCTGGCTTCAAAATCTAAAACAGAAAATAAAATTACAAAGGGCAAGTTAACAAACGCATAAGTTTTTTCATGTTTAAATAAAAAAAAAAATCCTAAAAAAAAAAGGGGGGGATACATTACTATATCTATTAACAACATAACTCACATAACTCTGATATATGTATTGTAAAGCGTTCTGGTAAAAATCAATCCCATAGTCTGGTAATGTGCGCTATCATTCCCCCCCCCTTTTGGTCGCCTCCTGTAAACACACACTCCCAACTGCGTAGCAGCTAGCCTGTTAGCCTCCGAGCTAACAGCGGGGCTGTTTCTCACCGCGAAGCCCCGGCTCGTCGTCCCTGGAGCGGATGTTTTTAATTTTGACATGCTTTCCACTAAGTGTCGATAGAACTAGCCGCTGTCGGAAGAAATTGCAGCCTTCGTAGGTGAGTCCGTGGCTTGCCATGTTGTTGTTGATGGTTGTTGGCGTAGGTAAAAATCCACGTGTGTTTGTACAGGATAAGAGGTAAAACTCAGAGGCGGGACTACAGCGAGCCGCGAGGGTCAAACGAAGGAGAGAACTCACTGCGGTAAAGTTAGTTTATGAGCTAATGGTTGCTAAAATGGCAAAAAAAAAAAATAAAAAAAATAAAAATAAAATAAAAATACTAATTTCTTTTTCTTTAATATGTTACTTTGATTTGTTATTTAACCCAAAAAGTTATATTTTTTTGTTATTTTATTTGTGTAACCTTTACTTTTTTTAAGTTCATTGTTTGATTTTGCCTTTGCATCTTTCATGCTTTAATTAAATATATTTCTGTGAGTATATATATATATATATATATATATATATATATATATATATATATATATATATATATATATATATATATATATATATATATGTATGTATGTATATGTATATACATATACATACATATATACATTCATACCCTTAGCTAATCATTGGCCACCCAGACGGTGGCAGCAGTAATATTCCCAAGTGGAATATTCAAAACATTTTCATTTTTCATACATTAACAATTACTTGACAACAAAAACAATTTGGTTAATTATGCACATCAATATAATATTATTAAAGATGATCATTCATGCTCTTTTCAGAACTAGATTTTGTGTTATAGAGGGTTAAGAGAAAATTTTGTGTCTCTGAAAGTCATCTAGGAGTCCTCTGTGAAACCATAGATAAATAACTATTTTAATAAAAATTTAATAATCAATTTGTGTATATATTAGTGCTTGTAAATATACATTTTATGCAGAATTATTGTTAATAAGAGTAGGTAAGTAATGACAAAGGAAGAGATGTTTGCCCCAGAACTCAAACCTGAGAGAATTGTATCCACTATACTAGAAAGCCACTATCTAGAAAGCATGGATGTAAAAATGTATGCGTATATTTGTTAGCAAAGGCTATTGGAAAGTATAGTTTGTCTTTATTTAGCGAATATGGATGTTGTGCTTGTTAATTTTCCTGTTGGAACAGTGTAGATTTACCCTGAGGTTCTGGTGCCGATCCGCTTTCAGTCACCCCTCAGTGTACATTGGGTAAAAAATTCTGGCCAAGCCTCTGGGGGGTCCTTGGTTTGGAAAACATTGAAGACCCTGGTCTAGCCAAAGCCAAAGAACTGCGAAACTACCCTTTATTTTACTCTCATTCGTAACCCAACATCGTTTTCCGGTTTAAAAACCTGTGCTCTTAAAGGGCTCCTATCGCCATAAATTGGCTGCGCTCCATTAGTCATCCGGCAAGGCAACCGGACGCATTGCGAGGCGTTGTCTCAGTTCACTCACAGGGCATTCCTGAGGCATACCTTTGCCTGCCTGCCCACTTTGGCCATAAATAGAGACAATTTTACCAACTATCAATAGATCTCTGGAAATCTTTGATTCAGTTAAAATCCTGATTTGTGTCATCTATTTATGTTTGCAGTGGCTAACAATATACAGGAGCAAAGGACTAGTTGGAGACTAGTTAGAGATCACAGACTGTTTAGCAGAAAATTACCTCTTTAATAGTCCGATTCTGTCAGAAATTCATGACATATTTTGATGTTTGCATCAAGGTACTTCACGCTGTAAAATCATTAGGAATGCATAGTCATGTTTAGAAAAGTACCCAATGGAAAATGTATGACACCTTAAAGAGAAAGGTGTGATATTTTGAGGACTAGATTTGTAGTGAGTTTTTTCTTAATTTTTTGTTTATTTTTTCTCGTCCTTGTACGCAGCTATCTCTTTAAGAGAGAGAAAAAAAAACACCTCACTCCACCTGGTTGCCACCAAAGCCCAGGCCATCCACCGGATGCCTGTGAAAGAGCGAATCCCCAGCGGTGCTCATAGGCGGCCGTTCATTAAATTATAAATGGGCGTGGCTAAAACAATTGCCAAAGGAACCTAACCCAAACAGTGGTACAACCGCACGTTTTTTTTGCTCATATTTGTATATTTTTTATTTCACTAAATAATGGTTTTGGCCAGTGTGATTCAGCAGCTGGAATTTTTCGTTCTTGCAGAGCTGCAGGTTTGTTCGATCAAAAGCATCGAGGCTGGGAAAGGATTAATGAGCTTCCCTACATGCTGCCTTAGCTCCGCACACCATTTATATAACCGCATTATACAATAAAAGGATCGCTATTAAAAGCAAAAGCGGTGACACAAGGAGTCTTGTTTCTGCACATGTTATTCTTCCTGCACAGATCTTCATCTGCCTCTGCTGGCTGAGTTGGCTCTGCTTTCCTTTATCCTCCTCTGTCTCCTCCTCCTCCTTTTAGTCAAAGCAGAGCCCAAGGAACAGAGCACTGACACTGCCTGCTTTAAGACTCGCCCCATTGTTGCGTAGTTTGCAAAAAAAAAAAAAAAAAAAAAAAACACCACTATCTGTCTTTCTACTTGCTTCGACCCAGTGTGATTGAAGCAATCAAGAAGAGGGTTTAACTCTTAATTGTGCAGCACGTCTGTTGGGAATCATGGTTCTGCAGAGAGTGATCCGCGCTGTCATCATGGGACCTCCAGGATCGGGGAAGGGAACCGTGTCAGCTCGCATTACCAAAAGTTTTGGACTGCAGCACATGTCTAGTGGGGACATTTTAAGAGCCAACATCAAGGAAAAAACAGGTAAGATAAAAAAACAAAAAAACATCAGAAATATATATTCTCCCTGTCATTTATAAATTCCCTGTACTTTTCCTCACTCTCCTTTCAAAGTTTGCTGTTTCATTTTGCAGAAAAAGGCAGTTAGTTGTGTTCTGCATGCTGTGATAAGAGCACCACCCTTATACATTTCTTATCTTCCAGCTACATACCTCAGATCAGGGGGATAAAACTCAAGTTTAAGTTAAAACAGGTTTGCAGGGTTAATAGGTGTCCTTTTTTATGTTTATACTGCAAACATTTACACCAAACACCTGAACTTTGGAAGGCAGCCCCTGCTTCTTAATTTCATATTGGTGTAAACTATTTTAAAAAAAGCTGTAAAAGAAGGTGTAACTTTGAACTTTTGCTCCCTGGGAGGACTGCTGATAAAGAAGTTTTCTATAACAGCTGCACTACAGAAAATCCACTATACTGACAGAGGATGCCAGATCTACACTAAATCTGGAGGCTTGATTCCTATCCAAGTTTCACCGGTTAAATTTAAATTCTTCATCTATAATGATTAAATAATAAAGCAGCATTTAATAACGGCTGATATGGGCCACATGGAGTAATATGTTTACTCAGTAAATGTGCATTAAGTTTGAGTTTAAATGTAATCATAATCCGTTGCAAGCATGTTTTTTAAAGTGTTATTTGAACACATTGATTCATATTTAGTGCCTTTTGTTAAATGGGTACTGATAATGCTTAATTGAAATTGCCACATCATTCCTTGGACTTTGATTGTGCTGCTCATTTCCATTATATTTAGATTAAGGTTTAAGTCTTTTCTTCGTATTTAAGGTTTGCATAACGATCGTGTTAGAATTACACTGATGGCTTTTACTTTTTTTTCTGGAGGCGTTTGACCTAGTTTGTCTAAACCAATACAAAGAAAACCTTGAAGTTTTCTTCTTGTGTTTGATTATAAAGTTTGACCTCTTGCACTGTGTCGTGTTCACGTCGGCAGCAGTCAGGAAGTTTCAGCAAGACTTGTTAGAAAATCACTTCCTTCAGTTGGATTTTGACCTACATCAGTGAAAATGAATAAGCAAAAAAAAGGCTTTCACCTTTCAAATGTCCTTTATCCGTAAGTTTTTTTGCTCCACTGTGCTGCTGGAATGTACTTAATCCTGTTGCATTGTAAGTTTTGTTGATGTACAGCTCTTAGAATTCTCTTGTTACTGAAACGGGCTATACAAATAAACTTGCCTTGCCTTGCCCTGCTTTTATTCTTTTGCATAGCGCCTCGTAAAACGATTCAGTCCTGCTGAACTTTTACGTTTTCATTTCGTTAATTACTTTTTTATGTGAAAGTTCAATGCAGACTTGTGCATTCTAATTAGATTTAACAATAAAAAAATAAAAGAATCAAAATAGAAAATTTTGTATTCGGCCTACTTTACTCTAATACCCCTAAATAAAATTCATCTAGTTGCCTAAATAGCAAGTAGAGTCCAGCTGTGTTTAAATGAACCTCTAGAAAATTACAGCCGGTGTTATGAAGGCTTCAGAAGTTTGTAAGTGAACAAACATCAGTCCCATGCAGACCAGGGAACATGGCAGACGGCTCACAGATAAAGTTGTAGGTTTAAAAAAACCATAAAACAGATCATAAAACAATAATCTAAGAGCTCAACGGCTCCCAGAGGCCTGCTTTTGAACTTTCTGTGTTCTGTTTCAAAGTAATATTTGTGTATTTTGAATTGTGTGAAACACATTTTTACTCCGAGGCCATGGTTCTCGACCGGAAAAAGGTGGCATGTCCCCTTCGGGTTGGAGGGGAGTCCTTGCCTCAAGTGGAGGAGTTCAAGTATCTTGGGGTCCTGTTCACGAGTGAGGGAAGAATGGAGCGGGAGATCGATAGACGGATCGGTGCGGCTGCTGCAATAATGCGGACGCTGCACCGGTCTGTCCTGGTGAAGAGAGAGCTGAGCGAAAAGGCAAAGCTCTCAATTTACCGGTCGGTCTACGTTCCTACCCTCACCTATGGTCATGAAATTTGGATCATGACCGAAAGAACGAGATCCCGGATACAAGCGGCTGAAATGAGCTTTCTCCGCAGGGTGGCTGGGCTCTCCCTTAGAGATAGGGTGAGGAGCTCGGTCATTCGGGAGAGGCTCAGTGTAGAGCCGGTTCTCCTCCACATCGAGAGGAGTCAGTTGAGGTGGCTCGGACATCTTCTTCGGATGCCCCCTGGACGCCTCCCTCGGGAGGTGTTCCAGGCATGTCCCACCGGGAGGAGGCCCAGGGGACGGCCCAGGACACGCTGGAGAGACTATGTCTCTCGGCTGGCCTGGGAGCGCCTAGGGCTTCCCCCAACAGAGCTGGAGGAGGTGTCTGCGGAGAGGGAAGTCTGGGAGTCTCTGCTTAGTCTGCTGCCCCCGCGACCCGGTTCCGGATAAAGCGGGAGACGACGAGTACGAGTACGAGTACATTTTTACCGTTGTAAAAAACGTCCTTTTCACACAAACTTTGCATTGTTTGCAACCATACTGCAGTGTTATAAAAAACAGTTTATTCTTACCTTCCCTGGGGATATCTGATCCTTTGTTGCTAAATTATTTAACTTGCAGTGCTTAATTTCTTCTCTGCAAACCTTTTAATAAAGATGCATTAACATTCCTCCACTAACTAGCATTTCCACAAATTTTTCATGGAAGATGTTGTCTGCTGTCAAATGCATGCTTGCTCTCTTTAGTGGCCGAATATGGTAGCACCAGTTCATGTGTAAGGCTAAGCAACATCAGATGAATCGATTATTGAAATAAACATAAACTAATCTGGTAGTCAGATCAAATCTTTACCTACATTAATGGTACATAGACTCTAAGTTGGGTTATTTGCTAAAAAAAACAAAAAAACATAATCATTGCAGAAATGAATACAAAACTACAAAAATATTTTCCATTTAAGATAAAAATATTTATATTATAAATCTATAATTACAAGTTACTAAAAGTACTTATTTTTAGATTAATTGAATAAAAAAAAGAATAATTATTGAAAGTATCAGTAGGCTTGTGTTTACTAAAACCATAAAATAAACATAAAGTAATCATTGTATAAAAAAAAAAAAAATCTAAATGCGTATCTTATTATTCTATCTACCAAACATCTTTAGTGTGTGTTGAATAGCACAATGCTGACACTAAAACCATCTGAAGCCATGTATTTCCATGTATGTATATTTTATGTGATAGTCATAGATAGCTGTAATGTTCAAAGACATTCTTTTGTCAGATTAGATTTTTTTTGTCTTTTAACTTACAAATAAAAATCTTAAAAGTGTGGCATGCATTTGTATTCAATCTCCCCAGTGGCCTTACTTTGTAGGGTCATCCTTTCAAGCTTTACTTATCAACAATCTGAAAGTTTTACAGATTCTTTTCTTCTTAACAGTGGAGTCGGACAGCCTGGAGATTAGTTTGGCACAGATGCCCATTCAGATATACTGCTGGACTTTGACTAGACCATTCTAATACCTACCCTGTGCATTGATGGGAGACACTGTTGTCCATGGCTGTATTTCTTAATGTCCTGCAGGAGGGGGATCCTCCACACTTTCAGCAGCCGTCCTAAGACCTATTAGCATTAAGCTCCATAATGATCTTATTTCAAGTATCTGTTGCTTTGCTGGTGAGATGTTTAAAGCTGGGCATGTTATTTTCTGAGCTAAATATGCTTTATACTTTGTTCTGCTGCCCTTAGAGGCCTGTAGTTTTACTTAGGTCGAGCTACATGCAGTTGGACTCTATTTATTGGTTATATTTTGATTGTGATTGTTTGAAATTTTAATCACAAATCTGTGAATAAAATCCAGGTCAAACATACAAAAAATTTTACAACCTCATTGGAAATAACTTAAATAAGCTTAGAGATTGTTAAAGCTGGATTGAAACAATCATTGCCTAAACCCTAAACAACGACCTTTATCTCATGGCTCTGTTCTCGTCTGCACCAGAGCTCGGCCTGTTAATGAAGTCCTGCATCGATCAGGGACAGCTGGTACCTGATGACATCATGTCCCGTCTCATCCTGAACGACCTGAGGAAGATAGACAACAATGGCTGGCTGCTTGATGGTATTAGGAGTTTTTTTAATCAATATTGCCTGTTTAAGATCAGCTCACAAGAGGTGGGCTATCAACACTTATTTTTAATTATAGATAAACCACTTAAGAGAGTTTTTAATCTCACTGGTTCTTGCATGTATGCAGATTTGTATTTTTCCACCTGATCACTTGCCCTCCTTAGATCCGTTTATCTGTCTTTTGTTCCCAGGGTTTCCTCGGACTGTGTCCCAGGCGGAGGCTCTTGATCATGCCTACTCTATAGATACAGTCATCAACTTGAATGTACCTTTCCAGACCATCAAAGAAAGGCTGACCTCCCGTTGGACCCACATCCCAAGTGGCAGAGTCTATAATACTGATTTCAATCCACCTAAAGTTCCTGTAATTACCCCTCTCTGACATATATCAGTATATCTGGTGTTTACTGTAAAAAAAAATAATCAAACAACCAGGAGAAAACTTTATTTAAGTGTGAATAGTTTGTTTGTTTTCGTGGGTTTTGCTTGGGAAAAGCTTTCCAGAAGCAGATTGAATAAATATTGATTTCTGACGAGAAGCTGTATTGACTCAAAACAGCATAAAGGTGGAATATAGCTGCGGGCAGAAGGGAGATTGCCAAATGGTTCTGCAGGTCACAGCTGCCACGGCAGCTTAATCTGACCTTGTTAAAAGCTCAACTGTAAAATGGAGATAGGGGGGAAAAAAAACAAGTTTCTACTTTGTAGAGATTCAAAGAGCAATGAAAGGATGCACAAAAACAAACAGCAGAACATTTAAAAAGTTGTTCTTCACAATGATCTTTCTTGATCATGGTGAAAAGGAAATGTAGGACTTGGAAGATTGTAATAATTGTGAACCAAATTTTAAATGATCACAATAATAACATAAAAGAAGATTCTTCACTGAATCATTATTTTTCAATTGATTTTTTTTTAGGTTTAGATAATGATAAAGATTTTATCATAAGGCTGTCTCTACCAAGGTTACCATTAAATGCAATGAGTGCTGTTTCTTTTTTTGTTTTTAAATTGCACATATGGTTTATAAGTAGTTTTTTTCAGCGGCAGCACCAATGCTAGAGGTGATAAAATGATGCATGAAATCATTTGAAGTACTTCTCTAATCAGTGCTTCTGATTAACATTTCAGCGTCAGACTCCACAGCTTAAGGAGGAAAGTAAAATAATCTGCCATAAACTGAAATAATATTAAAATGGGAAATACATGGAAAAATAAGCTCTTCTTCAGATGGAGAGAAAGGTTGGGTAGATGATTTATAGTTTATATTCTCTTAGTCACGTGTGGCGCCTGTAACATCTCTAAATAAACGGTTCCCTGTTCATTGTTGGCAAGCACCACCTTTGTGGTTCAGGGCTGGATGCTTCTACTCCTGTTTGGCACAGGAACATTTTACAGAACAAGTTGGGTCAAAGTAGCTAAGTATGCAGTGGTTTCCTCTTTATACTAGACAAATAAGACAATATTTTCTTTGCCTCCTCTGAAAAATAGATTTCAGTCTCCTTTCCTTCCCTTTTAAGCTGCAGAGAGATATTTCTAATTGCATCATTTAGAAATCAAAAACTAAACCATTTTTGCAAGTTTTTTTATTAATCAAATGTCAATGCTTATATACATAAATGAATTAAACTAATAATCTTAAAAAGTAATGATAAATAAACTGTTAAACTAATGCCTTTTAATGCTTTAGATTGCTGTTTAACTGAGGGTTTAGGCATGAGTTATAGCAAAGCCCACATTTTGCAGATTTCATCAAATATGGTCAAACATTTGCAGAAAAAAATAAAGATAAATAAATGAAGTAATGGCATCTTTTAATCTTCTGTTTCCAGGGTTTGGATGATGTGACTGGAGAGCCTTTGGTCCAGAGAGATGATGACAGACCAGAGACGGTCACAAGGAGACTAAAATCCTATGAAAACCAAACAGAGCCCGTCCTAGAGTACTACAGGTAGAGCCTGCTCAAATATAAACAAAAAACATTTATAGGACAAAGATAATTTAAACAGAGTCAATTATCACCTTTCTTTTCTTCCAAATCGGTGGTTTTGTTTTTTAAATCAGAGAGGAAACTTGTGTGCAAATAATATCTGAATTGTTGAATAACAATCAACATTTCTGGTTGGTTTTTGGTTAAAGAGGCTTTTCATGACATTCCCAACTGGGGGTACGCATACCCCTACTGATCCGCATGTGCATTGCAGGTAGTACATGAAAATATTTGATTTCTTAGGTAGTAAAATAAAATTGGGCTGGGATCTGTTCTCCTATGTGAGCATCCAATTGAAACATTAAACAAGCTTTTATTAACCAAAAAGTAAGTTTTTCTTATATGTTTGAGTTCAACAAAACAGAGCAGAGGAACAGACTGGAAGTAAAGAACAGCCTGGGATCATCTGTTTTTCACACTGAGCTATCAGAGCTCATTAAAGCAGCTCAGGCGTTTTGATAAAAACAAAGTCAAACAAATTAAATAGGTCTGACTTTAATTTTTTTTCTGTAGTTTGCTCAGAATTAATCAAGTTTAAATGTGATTATAAGGGAGTTAGGTACTCAGAGAACCTTTATTAATACAGGTTTATAATATGATTTTTTAAATTTACTTTTGATTCCTTACCAATTTCAGGCAACATATTTGTGTTTTTTTTTTAATCTTAGATGGAAAGAATACAATGCCTAAGAATTAAATACTCAGGTTAAAAGATTTAGTAAAGTAGTTTTTGTTTTATAATCAGTTATTGTATGTTCCACTTTTGGAAAATCATCAATACTTTTGACTGAGAGGGGAACTCATGGTAAGTAATACTGCTCAAAGGGGTACACAAGTCAAAAAAGGTTGGGAAACACTGCCCTAAGGTAATTAAGAGTTTGAAAAAGCTCATCAGACTGCTTCAACAAAATCTGCATTCATTTACACAAAATATCAGTTCATTAAAACATGTTTATATTTTTTCGAGGCTTTAAGATCTCTCTTTAAGCTCCCAGACAGTTCATTTGAATTTAGTAAAGCAAGCCAGAAACCTGAGGTAAACCAGACAAACAATCACATATTGGTTGGCCTGTCATGTGAGCGCTGGAAGTGAAGCACAAGTGAGTCTTTATTATTCACCGTTTTAACTAATTCCACACAAGAAATGGATCCAGGATGCATTTTTTTCTCTTTTTTTTTTTTTTTTTTTTTTGCTTTATCTAACCAATTTAAAGGATTCCTATTCACTTAACTCTGGTTGGGGTATCAGCATTTGAGCATTAAGTCATGGAGAAAATGGTTTAATGTAGGGGAAGGGTCAGAGCTAATGAACCCTGACCTCTCCAGCAGCAGTGACCAAGTAGCTGCTTAAGAATCACGTTCCAAAGGATACACCGGGGGATGGGGAGGACTGCTTTCTTCCTAATGTCAAGTAGACAGAAACATGTAAATGTTTATTTTAAACGTGCAGTCTCCATACACCAGTACTGTAAGGAGACCAAGGGTGTTTGTAACACTTTTTGCTTCAGCATATCTAACCCTTTGATACGGTTTTTACATTTTTATACAAAAAATAGTACCCATACACCTCTGTGATTATAACACAGACTTGGTCAGTTAATGTCAAATGAAGAAAGTAAAATCCTTATATTCATTCTTGAAGTTTAACATGGAGGACTGTAAAGCTTAAAAAATATTACAACATGTCAGCCACTGTTCACCTCTGTTAGCTTAGCTTGTTTAAGATTATTTGAGGAAACATTTAAAAAACTCTAAATCAAGTCATAGACTCTGCATGACACTGATAACACCAAACTGAAATAATGCATTTTTGCACAATATATATTTGTCTTGAAATGCTCTGAACTTCCATATCAATGCGTTTTTGCACCATGTTTCTTCTCCCATGCTGTTTACATTTGATCACAGCTGCATTTTATAAAATGGAAATGTTCATTTCACTGCTAAGCTGCTGCTCATTTACTGTCTGAAAGATGTATAACACTAAATTTTGTTTTGTATACACTCTGTGTATACAAAATGACAATAACATTTGTATTAGTCTACATCATATGATTGAGAAGCAAATATTTCCACCTGAAAATTGTAATTGGAATCTGTCTGCTATTGTATCAGTATAAAAAGAGTAACTTTTGAAGATTTTTTACTTCTTTTCCTCAATAAAACTGGAAGACATCAGCTTTAAGCCTCAGCATCCAGCATGTGAGGTTAGAGGAGGGATGGTATAACATCGAAGGAATCATATGACTTCAATCTCCCCCTTAAACCTCTCGACTTTTTAAAATGTTGTAACCACACATTTTTACGTATTCTTAAACTTGTGTAACCAAAGAGAAAGCCTTAGTAATTTTCCCTTAAAAAAAATAAAATAAAACCTAAAAAGTGTGACAAGCAATGGTAGTCAATCTACTTGAATAAATACTATGATATACAAATATTTATAAACAGTAATTCACAATTATGAACAGATATGCAAAGCTGCTTTTTATATTTTCATTTGTAAAAATGATCCAAATATTTAATCACTTTTTATCACTTTATAATTAGATGCAATTTGGCGTTTGCTCTTTATAAAATCCACATAATGTCTAATGATTAACCAATAATCAAACGAGAAAAGGGACTTTTACGAAGCACCCCATGCATGACTTGCAGAACTACAGCAGGGCTCTAAAATGATTTCCTTGGTGTAAATAAGATGAGACGGTGATAAATAATTAAGAAACATCCGTAAATAATTTGACATTTACCGTGTATAAACTAATCATTAAACAAGAAAGGAAAAAAAATGTCTTCTTTTTATAACATTAAGTTTTTGACAATAGCAAATAATAGACATCTTGGGTTGGTAATAGTCAAGTCAAATAATCTTTATTGTAATGACAGTTTAAAATGAGAGGTAATATTTATCCAGGTTAGCTTGTAACAGTCTTTTGTAGATCCATCAAACTGTAATATCTATTCTCCACATCCACCCTTATCCCAAACGATACCTTTGTACAATAGGATTTGTTTGTGACATTTGCAAACTGCCATAAAATAATGAAGTCATATAGCTTCAGGAAAATAAGCGCTGAAGCTCATCTAATGTGGTACTGATTTGATGCAAGGGTTATATTCTAAAGATTGAATACAGTCTCTAAAGATTGTTTAACCAAATATTGGTTTAAGGTTGTGCACACTTAACTTTCTAATAATAACACATTTGCTTTTCAGCTGCACAGGATAAATGTGACATTTATATCTATATCACAAACTTGACTTTTAAACAGGATGTGTAGACTTTTATTCATTTATTTTTTTTAACAATGTTTATGAACATTGCAAACTTTACACTGCATTTCTTTTTCTTCGTCTCAGGAGTAAAGGTGTGCTGGAGACCTTTACGGGGACAGAAACCAACAAGATATGGCCACACGTTGAAGCTTTCCTCCACAGAAAGTTCTCTGCCCTCAGTCAAAGAGCTGCCTAACCGCCGAAGTACAAAGATTACCTGAAGGCTACTAACGAAAAACCGTCCAATCAAGTCGCAGAATGTATATAATTGAATATGGATAATTTGTGTTTAATGAAGGTAAAGCCTTTAAATTTGTAAATGAAGATTTATCTATTTTACTAAATACTAAGTAAGACTACTACCTACATTAGTCTTTTTTATATCTAATCTTTGAACTGTGTCGGTGAAACAATTTAGGGGAAATTCGGATGAGTGTCTGCAAAACCTCTAGCATGATGCTGTTACTATGTCCACTTTGTGCCTTTATAAATCCAGAAGATAATGACTGAATTAAACATGAAGTTTTGCAACAGTACATCAGGGATTTAGTTTGCACAAGATGCTGCAGGAAGAAGGCGGGAGCTGTTTTGGTATGTCCTGGTGACCATGACCAGGTTAAGCTCCTCTAAATGTAATCCCATTACATACAAACTGCCATTAGCTAAACATCCACAGAGGACTTTAAAAGAAAAGATAAATCCTTGATAAGAAGCAACTATTTTGTAGTGTTACAATAAGAGTGCATATCTGATTCTTCTAGTTCTAGTTCCTTTAGATGGATCAAATTGTTTGGTTTTAGTGTAGTTTATGCCTTTGCCGCACTTCATTGGCAGTCTGAAAAAAGGTACATTTTGTTCCGATAATCATGGACCAGTTTAAATCATTTCTATATTAACATTAATGCATATCGTAAATTTAAAAAAGGTATAACATCTTATTTTAACCATGTCAAGTCTTACTAATGATGCCTCTTTAACACTCCATTCCTTTGAATTTCATTGCCATTCCTAGTTGCAACTACATTATTTCTTGTAAGCAATTGTTGGCATTTATCTTGACTGACCAGATGGCTGAAAAACACACAAACACATACGTTGACACAATACAGGGTTAAATGTTGTTGGAAGGTATTAGCTTGCAGTTTTTTGCACATTGCTCTGAATGTTTGCCCTGTTAAAAAGCCTTAATAACGCAGTGCACTGTATGTGATCGTTCTACTTTCCTAAACACTTCCATGCATTGTAAAAATGCAAAACAAAAACGATCTTTTCACTTGGATATTTATGAATCGCAATAAACTTGTTGTACTATACTTGAATTACTGTATTTCCTTTAATAATTTTGTCTCCCTTTAATGACTTTGTTAGAGCTGTTTGTACCTATTGATCAAAGGCAGACATGCAGAACTCCATTATTGTTCTGGTTCTAAAAAGCTTTACTTTTGTTTTTTTATTCCATCAGCTTTAATCTTACACTAAATATAATATTATCCAACCTGTAATTTAAGTATTTGCTCATTTTCCAATTCAAAACTCTCTAGTTGTGTATTATTTACAGTTCCAAACTCAAAAATCCAATTTTGGCTATTGGAGTAAAAATAAATTTCGATAGTAAAGATGATTTGACAGTGTGGCGTTTTATTTTTTGTTTCGGTATTTGTGCGACAAATAAGCTTTACTTTAAACAATATCAACATTTAGTTTAGAATTATTTTTTCTTCAGTTTTCTTTTAATAATGAAATAAAATAAATAAATATTTGCTACGCCTGACTTTTGGTCCAGTTTTAGTAACCTTGTTTTATTCTTACAAGCTGATGGTTAAAGCTAGAAATGCTAACAAATAAACTGCTATATCATCCTAAATGTTAATATAGGCTGCAAAATCTGCAAAAATCCTGGAGTTGAGATTCAGCCATTGAGGAAATTGGATGAACATATAGGATAAATCTCTGTAAAAAGCATTTTATTCTTTCAAAAGGTTTCTGTGGAAGAGAAGACGAAACAAACTTTGAGAACTGATTCCTTTTTTTGTCAAACTGGTTAGGGAAATGAAAATAAACAAAATCAGAGCTCAGTGATAAAAAAAAAAAAACAGACACTCGTTAAATGTGAGATTTTAGGGCATTTATCTTAGAAGTGGTGGCTATAGTCACAGCACACATTTGGCAAAAGCTAACTTCAGCATTATCCACTATAAATATAGAGAGGATCTCAGCATTTGAAAATAAAAGTGGCTCAGTGTTACATAATACTAACAAAACTGACAAATGTAAACCCTTAATTTAGATGGCCATGCCAGAGACACCAGATAAAAAAAAATGACCAACACCTGTCCTAAAATAGAGATTTTACCTGGAAGATGATATGTTATTAAAAATCGGTATGAATCATTTAAATGCATGTGCAACTGTTTTGGTTTCCCTGTATTGTAGAGAGCAAACAGTAGTATAGTTGACCAGAGCTAATTATTGAACTTTAGAGCATTTCAGTCTGTAGTTTTATTTATCTGCTGTAGTAGCTGAATGCAGAGTAGGTTTAGGTAATAAGGGGTCTGTGGTGAGACGATGGCGCTGCTAAAAACTCAATGAATCACCCAGCTGCTATGAGTCACAGATTACATTCCCATAACTGGAAAACATCTCAGTGATTGTGCTACTCAGCAGGTTTGAACATTTACAGCTTTTATCAGATAAGAACCATTGTTCTTATGGGATCAGATAAAGAAAACACATAATTGGGGTAAAAGCTCCACAGTGAGGACAAAGGAAGACATGCTGAAAATGGAAAGGACCAACAATCATATAACCAGGGCTAATTTTCACAGTTGTTTAAATAAACTGGAAAAATGGGGGAAAGCAAAAAGTTTCCTAAAATGATAACATCGGGTAACAAAAGTTACATGCACAAATTTTATGAGTGGAAAACATTGAAACACTACTTTAAAAGTCTAAGCCAATAATGTAATAAAAAAATTTGTATGGTGCCTTAAGTTGAAACATTTTAGAGTGAGCAGTTCAGTTTCTTTAAATGTAAAAAAGACCTAAAGGGTGAAAGCAAAAAGAAAAACTTCCTCTTAAGCTCGTTAAGTACAGTCCCTTCTTCACCTTTCATTCAGAACAAACAGTGTATATTTGTGATATCTACATGTAGAAATCTGAAAAGTGTGGCATGCACAGCCTGTTAATTTAATAACCCTAAATACAATCCAAAGCATCATGTTTCCTTGTTAGTAATAGAGATTACCTGCATGTCATTTAATCTCAGGATAAAAACAGCTGCTTTGTGAAGGCGTTTTTCTTTTTAGACACTATAATCCAATCAGAATCATGAAGACATAGCAGGGTGACCTCAGCTTTAAAATTGTGGAGAACTTTAAAAAAAGAGTTAAATCATAAACTGGCGTTTCAAGCTTTATGCATCTCACAGAGCTCGGATTGATTCATGATTACAAAAAGGCTGTCCACCAAAAAATACAGGCTGGGCAAGGAGAATATTAAACACAAAAGAAGCCAAGCAGCCCATGGTAACACTGGAAGAGCTGCAGACATCTAAATTAAGGTAGTTTAAACAAACAGTTGACAGGAAAACTATCACAGACTCAGCATAATTTGCCACAGTCATTGAATCTTAATGAAGGACATAAAAGCCTGTCTTTGTAATGTGAAAATGTTACAAGGCACAGTGCCTGTATGAAGAATGCTGAAAATTGCAATATACTGTATTCTGTTTTGCTAGATGTAATAATTAAGGTTTAAATTCAGTTGATCAAAGGGCCTTAAAGTCGACATGAAGAAATTTCTGTGATGTAAAATAATTGGAATAATCTTTCTTAAAAGTGCATCAGCCTTTCAGCAGATTGAACTTCAACCCAATGATCACACATGTGTTTTAAGGCCACTATAATTATTATAAACCTGCTACTTTTTCCATTATTCATCTTATTACACCACACTAGCCATAAAACAGGCCACCTTAAATGGGGAAGGCAGACTAAAGCTGAATATCTTGTTGTGGTAGCATCCTGTCTTTTTAAATCCGGTGATTAGCAAAAATAAAAATAAATAAATCCCCCAAAACTGCAAATGCATTATTTATTTTACCTCTGGTTATCACAACAAAAACTGCTCCAGTTCACATATTCACTCTAGCTGCTCCTTGTAGATGATCCTAAGGCAGAAACCTCTGATTGTTTTGGGAACTAAGGCCCTTACTGCACATGATTTGTAAAATGGAGATAGCGGTATGTATACCAATAAGGTACAGATATTTATGAAAGTTTTAAACAAATGGGCTAAAGATAAACCTAATTATGAAGAATTTATTTCCACATTATTGTATCTGAAATAAAACAAAAGTCTTCCAATTTTTTCTGGTTGTCTATATTTTGACACCAACTGTGTCTGACCTGGTCCTGATTTGCTGCACCTACCTTTTTAGGATCTCCTGTATTTTCTGAACTAAGTGTGCTAAATGTTATTTCCTTCTTTGAGAAGAAAAGGTTATACACTGCTGCACATTATATGCATTCACTAGCTGGCAGGCCACACTGCAGCGAGAGCCAAATGCTAAAGCCAAAGCTCAACAAAATGTGTCATTAGCAAAACATAATTTCCTCCTGTTTCTGCTGCAAGATGCAACAAACAAGCGGATCAGTTCTCCATTTATTCCTGCTCTGCAGCCGTGTATCCGCCTGGTGTCCTGGATGGAGGTTTACAAACTCAGATTGTTCCTACGTGGACAAACGACTGAGATGGGAGAAGAGCAGGGTTGGAGTGACGGTCATTAAGAGATTTCCATCATCCGGTTGTCTTCTGTTTCTGTGGCGTCATCCTTTGTCCATTTCCCTGTACTCGTCCACAGTCCAGCCTCTAAACAGTGCTTCATCTTGTATTCAGCATCCTCCTACAAGCCAAAAAACAAGAAAAAAGGATTAAATACATCAGAGTATAATTGTCAGTATTTCTAAAACGTTTTAAAAAGCTGCATACAGACACAGCTCTGGAATGTAATTTATTCAACCCCCCCCCCCCAAAAAAAAAGAACCTAAAAATAAGCTTTATATTCAACAACATCAAGAAATAAAAGCATCATAATCCAGTATTAACATCCTCCATTATCCTGAGAGGCAGGATTTCCATTGCTGAGCAAATGTTGGCAACTAATCACGGTGTGGGGCCAGCAGCGGGGATGTGGCCGACGATCTCTCCCCAGCTTAACAAAAGCCTTTTCAAAGTATAATGAAAAGTTTGCTGAATAAAATTAGGCAAACTAGCTTGTTTTTGTATCTTAGCTATAGGTTAGCTTAGCTAGAGGTTTGTCAAAGAGAGCTGCAAGTATTAAAACTCCTACCAGAAAGTAAATCCTTTGTTTCTACACTCTGGTTTAGATTAATCTATATCAGTTAGGTGGACGAGTTTTTGGCCACAAGGCTGCTTTCCTTTAAAGTGGTAGAGCTTGGATAGATCCGTCTACAGTGGGATTTGGTCCTCACTAAATAAACTTGATTTTTAATTAAAAGAATAGACAGGAAGAATACATTCTGGAGAATGAATAAGAATTTATATGAACTAGTTTACCTTAGGGGCGTAGTTTAGTTTTACCCAGTTTTAACTTATATACCTTATTTTCCAGAAATAGAGTGCTCTCACTACAAGCCACACCCACGCATTTTTTTTTTACTAGGAAACATACAAATATATAAGCTGCACTTGGCTATAAGCCGCTGATATCTACAGAACTGTCCCCCAACAAACCTCTAGGGGGTTCTCTACATATCCCCACTAGAGTAGGGACGAGGAAGAACCTTGGCTCCAATTAGCTTGTTGGTTGTAAGAGCTTCTAGTGAAAGATGGGGCTTTTTTAGCTTATTATTTAAGCTTTGCAGGAGTTGCAGTCTCTTCAGTGGTATCAAAGCTTTAATGCGGCAAATAAAAGACAAAATCTCTGAACTAGGGGTGTTTGCTCCCAGTCGTGCCTGCTGCTAGCATGGGCTTGTGCTAAATGAAAGCCCCTTCTTCTCTGATCTCTGCCCCCTGTGGTTAGGAAAAATCCACAGAAAAGCCGCACTTTCCTATAAGCTGCATGGTTAAAAATGTGGGGACAAAGTAGTGGCTTATAGCCCAGAAAACACCATACTTTTTAACAATTCAAACAGGAGGGACTAGAGCACCCTGGTCAAGATGGCAGCAGTTAAAACATTTATATATTATCAAAAGTCTCAAAACTAAAGCATCACTGAAATAATTCAAATTACAAGAGATTTCAGAAGATTAATCCAATGCATTTAAGAAAATAGCTGTATCCTGTTGAACGTATGTCAAACTTTTTACAAACTAAATAAAGAGATTAATTTCTTTAACAACAAATGATTGTATATTAAATGATTAAATTACAAGAGAACAGCAGATTTCAAAACTGGAGGATCTCAGTTGGTCCAGAAATATTAAAGAGCCTAGTGAAGACGTTTGCAACTAGTGGGTCCTTGGACCATCCACAGCAGCTCTTACTAACTTCCGCTAAAACCGATAAGGAACCAAACAGTGTGCTTAAATAAAGATATACTGCAGGTCTAGGCATTGTTTCATTAAATAAGTGCTCTGAATTTATACAAAATGACAGGTAATGTACTTTTTAGAGCCATGTTTGTCATTAGGTTCAAAGCACTTTCTCCTTTTCTGTCAACAATATCAGCAGTCCATGGAAGAAAATGTATCCATATCCAGATTTTATGAAGTGGATTAAATGGATTAAATATGTAAGCTCATTTAAAAACCAACCTTTTAAACATAAAAGTTGGCAATAAACTAATGTTTTCCCAGATGTTAAAGTGATGATATTCTACTGCCAAAAAACAACAACAAAGCAATATTTCAACATACTTAGTAAAGCCTCTGTCCTTTCCAGTGCTGCACCAGAACACTCAATTATGCTTTTTGCCAGATCAAATATAATCTGAATTCAACTAAAAGTGGGCAAAAAACAAAAACAGATATATACAGACTCCAATCAAACACATAAAGGTCAAATAAAACACATAGGGCCGGATTTATCAAGATCCAATTTTGCGTGCAGTAATTTGCGCTCGCAAACTGGAATTTTGTGCGAGGGGCTGAACCATGATTTGCGGGTGATTTAACAAGAGCGATTGCGTAACTAGTGGCAGGTGCAAAACTGTTGGAGACGCCCTATTTAAATGATGGTTTTGCGCGTTTTGTGGTTTGCGGCAAAGTAGTTTGTAGTTTGTGCAAACTAGTGCATTAAGAAATTTTCTCCCACCCCCTCCAAAAAAAGAAATATATATATATATATACTTTGGCAACCTTTATTCCCTAAGGTGGTATGTGGCTGAATTTCTACTTCACCGCAGTAAAAAAAAAAAAAAACAAAAAAAAAAAACCCAGGTGTTTTGTATCGGCCTGTAGAAAAATGCACATACCAAATGGCTCACAAGAAGTGACTGTTGATAAGATGACTGCGCGTATGCATCCTTGCAGCATTGGCATGTTGCTCCACAGGCGCAAGGCGGGAGGTCGGGGTTCTCTCCGGTAGGGCGTCAGGGCGACATGGCATTTAGAACGTCGGACAGCACTTCTGAAAAACGAGATTGGGAGATCCCAGCTCTCGCTGCAACCGTACGCTGGAATGACCCAGATGCAAAAAAGTGCAATGTTGCAAGGAGTTTTGTGATATCTGGTAGGCCTATTGCGTGGGTCCTCCTTGTGGCTCCAAATCCATTCGGAGTTCCCCCAACAGCTCCAAAATGGCAATGCTGGATAAACGATATGTTTTGATGATCGTTTCCTCGTTCATTCCAAAAATATTCACACGGAGTGAAAAAATGCATTCTCTGCGTCTCCTTGCTTCATTTCCATGTCTCCTTCTTGCGACAATAACCGCTGCCCTGTGTGCGCAATTACGCATACAGACCATTTGCACCTTCTTTTGAAACGTGTTAAATATAGAGTCAGATACCGTCAGCAAAATTGCTTTCAGGTTTAATAAATCACTTTGCGAGTGCTAAATTAATATATTTACATGTTCTCCCACATCCTCCCACAAGACGCACTTTTGCGTGCAAACGCCCAATATTGAATATTCATTGCAGAAAAAGTACTAAATGGATAAGAGGCGCTATTTAGCACGTTTTAAAGACCAAATCCTTTTAGCACGCTGTTGATAGATCAGTTTGTACATTTTTTAGCGTGCGCAGTGAAATAGCTCACGTTTTAATACACGCAAACCGTTGATAGATCCGGCCCATAGAGTTCTGTCAGGAAAACATAAATATACCCTTTTGGCCTTGATCATAATAGGAAAGGAGCAGCCAGGTGCAGCTTATATTGTATAGCCACATTCAATTTATTTCTGGGATTAATAAAATAATTTTAGAAATATGTTAGTAATGACCTCAGAGGAGCGTCTGCTGCTTTCTGTTAATTTGGAAGGTGTCAATTTAACAAAACAAAACCCTTAAAGTTCAATCATAAGCATAAAACAGCTCACACAGCTGCCAATCCCACTAGAAGTGGGAATACTAACAAACTGAAACCTTGGCCAAAGGTTTGTGATCTAAGAGATCAACTAAAATACAGATACACTCAGTTATGTTTACCCCTAAGTAAATACATAGATATAACTAAAGATATTTGTTTAGGAAGGATTACAAAGTTTTGTCAAAGAAAGAATTTAGCAGGAAGAAAAAAGGTTTCTTGAAGGCTCGCCTTAAAAAAGGACAAAGCCCGAATGGAGACGCCTGGGCAGCTTCTGCTTACCGGTAATAAATAATGATATGTTGGTTCAACTGAGGTTCAATTTCAGTCACTTTAGATCTGAAAAAGCAAGTTAACTTGTTATCATGACCTGAGACATTGATCCTTGTTAACATGGATCTGATCTAAATAAAATGATACTTGCAACATGCAAGAAACTCCAGTTTCATAGAAATTTTGTCCGATTTTTTTTTTTTTTTTTAAGAAAACCCGTTTTAAAACAAATGTATATATGTCATCATTTTTTTCCATTTTTCTCAAATAACTATAAAGCACATAAAAAAATACCAAGGGTTGCAAGTAAAATATTTCATCTAAGTTATGTTTAATATCTAAAGAAAAATTCAAAATATACTGCTTTGATTTTATGGGTTATAAAATAAAATAAAAAAGTATGTGAAGAAAAAAAACAAAAACAAAAAACAGGGAATTTAAGAGGCTTACGTGATTTTAATTAAAAGGAAATTCTTTCCCATTCCCACCAGGTTTTTTAAGAAAGAAGTTTGTAAAACATAGACATCCAGAATTTCTTTAACAATCTGAAGCCACATGGGCTAAACCGAACATAAAAATGCCCTTTCTTTCAAAAAGTAAACACGTTTTGAAGATATATAAATTAAAAAGCAATTGCATTAGCAACACTGGTCCCAACATGAAAAAAAACACACACAAAAAATGCTTTTTAGTGCCACCTATCAGTTGAACAGGATAACTACAAGAAGTCACAAGACAAAGTGGTGCCTAAGTAAATGTAGCAGTGTGTACCTGTGATATAAAGTCTGTTGTTCCTTTGGTGTTCGCTCTGTAGCCTGTGCCATCATTCTGCTGGTCAACATTTAAAGCATCGTTTCTACATTTAGCAGCATATTCTTTAACTCTCTGTTTGAAGGATTCTAATTCTGCATGAAAAGCTTCAAGGTACACATCTTGTCCCTCCTGCAAAGAAAAAAAAAATACAATTACATAAAAAAAAAATAAAAAAAAGGTGAAATGGTATAGAGAAAAATGGAGACAGAATGAGCAAATGAAGCTGAAAAAGCTTTTTTTTTTTTTTTATAAATTCTCTATAAATTCGCTTGTATCATTGCAACAGTATAAAGCTAAGGTGAGAGTTGAGATTAGAATACTTAAACTATGTGACTTACTTTGGCTTTGTGGAAGAACTGCCTAAAGCAGCCTCTGGGATCTTGCTGAGAATTTGAGGCCATTTCTAAGATAAACTGCATAACCACTGCTTGGTGCGCCACCTGCTCCATAAGTGCTTCTTTCTGGAAGACAAACAGCATAAAACAATCAAGGTATATTACAAGGATATCTGTTTGACCTCCTTAAACAAGAACAAAAAAAAAAAGACTTTACCTACCGTAAATGTGCAGTGTCTGATGGATGAAAAAAATCAAGCTCATTGAAGCTACAGGTGTCAGGACAAAGTAATTGATGTGATTCTGTACAGTATTTGAATATGTTGTTGGGTTTTAATTTTGGTGATCAGTGAGCATGTCTTTTCAAATTCTAAAATCTTAATCACAAAACTCTTCTTGCTTACTAGTACTTTACACATTCGGGGGGATTTGTTTTGGTGATCAGGTGAGACAGGCAACGGGGCAAACATACACTTAACATGAATACGTTTAGAATAAACAAATGCAAGTCATAATGGAAGAGCACCAGTACATCTATTAAGATTAAATAAAGGCAGTATACAATTTGATTAAACAAACAGATAACATTGAGCTAGTTTTTGTATTGTTTGTTTTTTGTTTAATCTCCAAAAGGAAAAGTAAGAACTTTAAACAATGCCATGCTAATTGAATATGTTTTTTCACTTAAAGTCATCATTTAAAACCAGCTTTTTAAATTTATTACATTTAGTGTAAACAAAAAAAAAATGCGTGGCCTAAAGATATCTTTGAGTATGCAAATATTTTTTCTGTGCATTATGCATGTGCGTTACAACAAAACTACATATTGGTTGTACTTGGAGCTGTTTAGTGTTTCTTGGATCTTTTGGCTACAGATGATTATAAAAGCAATACCACCATCATGCTACTTACTCCTTGTTGCTGTAATCGAATGCACCACAGGACTAAAAAATTAGCAGTTTCCTCACAGATGAGCTGTGGCATGTGTGAGAGGAATCGCTGACTGTCATCCCATCTCCGTAGCATACCTGGAACAACAGATTCATGACTTATCAAAATTTAAGGACTGAAAGCACAAAATGTAAAAAATAATGTAGTCTAAACCTTTCCAAATATTAAAGAAAGGATCATAGCAAAATTACTTCTTTAGGGCTTTTTTTGCCTAAAGGAGAAAAACGCTGGATTTATCCTGTGTGCTTCACTCACCAAAATGCCTGAGCTCTTGTTCATACTTCTGAAGAAACGTATTGCAGTTGTCCTGATCCATTTCCACAGACTGATGCTGAAAATTAAATATACTCTAGAAGAAGAAGAAAAAAAAATAAGGTGTATGTAAAGAAGAAACAGGAGTGCCAAACTCCATCTCTTTAAGGTTTACCTTATCAAAAACGTCCCAACTGCCTGTGGCACCAAGCACGGGACTGCGGCTCGGTTCTGGACCTCCCAGCAACTTCTCCTTGCGCCGCCACTCCTGCTCTGTGTTTGTGAGCTCTGTTGGACAAGCGAGGGTTCGAGCGCGTTCCTGCTCCAGCGATTCAGAACTGTGGACTCCCAAAGAGCACAGCTGGTCCTGCGCTTCAGCCAGCCTCCAGCTGGAGACGATGGAGGCCTTCACACAGCGCTGTTGGCTCTGGCAAAGTGACGCCATGGGGCAGCCACAAAGGGGGGACGATGGTGTCTAGAGAAATTTTATCAAGGGAAATTTTATCATTTTAAAAGTTATGAGATTCAGAAGCAACACGTGATGCTAATGGAGTTTTTTGTCAACAGTGTGACGTAAATTGAAACTAAAATGAGGTAAATGTAAGCTGTAATAGTAAAGACAACTTAAAATTCTAAAAGAACAAGGTAAAAAAACAAAATGAATTATGCAGAAAATCTAGCATATTAGCAAACAACATAAATTCTTAGAGAGGAGGAGATCTTGATGATGGAATTAAAACATAGAGAAGTTTAAATTTTACTGCATAATAAAAAGAACATAAATAAAAAAGGTAGATATTTTTTTGTGAGCAGGTCTCGCAAGATTTAGATTTACAAGGGAGTTGATTTCAAACACACCTTTAAATTAACCTACCTACTTTCATGGACAAGGGATGCAAATTAAAATGTTTACAGACTTAAATACAACATGCATTTACAGGCTCTGGTTTTTTGTACCCAACCTTAAATCTAGACAATGTACAGAGATGACTTATGGTTCCGGATGTTACGATTTAATATTTCCATTTCTGATACTACATATCATGAAGAAATCATACATATTTTAACTAATGTAGTATTTGTTGGATGTTAGAAAAAGCCTGATCAATATGGCATCAGGACATCTTTTATAATGAAGATACATGAGATAGCACTTCTGAGAAAACAATGATTAGTATAACTGCTGTAGATGCACCATAAAGTTTTTCCTGCTGTTTACAGATTTACATTTTTTCTTTAAGATCTGAGTGATCATTTTTGCCTATATATATTCTGTGTTTTTTCTTTAAGACAAATTTCAAAAACATATTGTTTTTAGTTAAAATTAGCCCTCTAAATTGGTATACTTATTCAGTTCATATCTACTAACCCCTCAGCAACTACAATGAGCAATCATCCGATCTTACCTATCCATGTTCTGAGTACAATCTTTTGTCCGATTATTGTCGTTTTTTGCTTTTATTTTCAATGAAAACATCGAAGTGCAAAAGAAAATCTATCTTTGATTCTGTTAGCTACTTCTAAAACACTGCAAATATTAGATTTGTATACACTGTCTAAAGGATATCTGACCATAATAGTCGCAAAAACAGTTATTGATGTACAACTAGTTGTAATTTAAATATTTCTGTCTAATTTTAACCCTTCTGAAATGCTATTAGCTTGCTAGCATCTGATAAAGGGAACTTGATTTTGGTTCAAGTTGAATGCTAATAGCTTGGCTAATTAGATTTAAAGCGTTTTTACCTGTTGGTTGGGATGGAAACCAGCAAAACTTCCCATCGACTGACTTGGGTCGTTATTCTGCTCACCATTTGCTTGAAATGGAGCTCCGTGTCCCATCCACGCCATGGCTGCAACTCTCACAGTAGTTTGCCCGTTTGATGTGCTAGCTAATGCTAGCAACGGTTAAGGAACCCCGCACAGTTTGGCCCTTTTATATTAAGCCCTCCGCCACGGCAGTGTCGGATATAAAGAGTGGGTTGAACGGTTTGAGGGTAAAATTGGAAGTATGATTCAATAGAACAGTGCGTCGGTCTCACAAACAATAATAACAACCGTTGCTCCAACTAATCAGAGTGCAGCTTCTTCTTCTTCTTATTGATTTTTATTGGCGGTTGGCAAAAAACGTTAGGTGAGCATTACCGCCACCAACTGGTATGGAGTGTGGACTACATGGCAGAAAAAAAATAAATAAAAAAAAAAAAAAAATAAATAAAAATAAATAAATAAATAAAACTATACCCTATTATACAACCTAATCTGTTTCAAAAATTCAAATATAACCCGATATCCTCTGCTTCCTGATTCCTTCTGCAATAAATCGACAATGTCAAGTTTCATTTTCATGTCACTAAGTTTCCTTATTAACCTGTTTCTCTGTATCGAATATTTACTACAATTTAAAATGACATGTTCCACAGTCTCATCTTCCCCACAGTCACATTTCCCTGTCTGATGTTTCCCTATCAAAAATAACGATCTATTCAATCCAGTGTGTCCTATTCTAAGTCGAGAAATAATAATCTCTTCTCTCCTGTTCCTTTCTGATCTTCTCATTGGTCCAATTCTCTTTTGTATTTTATAAAGCCACCTTCCTTTCTTTTCTTCATTCCATAACTTTTGCCACCTCTCTTTTGCTTTTTGTTTAATTATACCCTTTATTTCTGTTATACCAAAACTAACATTAATGTCTACCCTTAACTTATTGGTACTCTCCTTAGCCATCCTGTCTGCCCTTTCATTTCCTTTTATCTCGTTATGTGCCGGAACCCAAACAAAATTTACCACTAGCCCCATCATATTTATTCTGTAAAGTGTTTGTTGTATTTCAAGTAATATATCTGGTCTACTGACTGACTGATTATTTTGCAAACTGACTAATGACGAACTGGAATCTGAGCAAATGATAGATTTTAATGGTCTTACCTCTTCCACCCATTGAACTGCTAAAAGCAAAGCTAGCATTTCACCGGTATATACTGAAACTCCATCACTAATCCTTTTTCCAACATTAATATGAAACTGTGGTATAATAAATGCTATCCCTACCCTATTAGCAGTATTTTTTGATGCATCTGTATATATTTGTATATAATTATAATAGTTATTTAAGTGTTCTTGTACTATATATTTATTCATAATATGAAATTTATCTTTTTCCTTCTTTTCTAATAATGAGAGATCAACTTTAGCATCAGGAAGTATCCAAGGTGGAATTGCTGTTATTGGAACTGTCTGACATATATCTAACTGATTTAAATTAATTTCATTAACTTTAGTGTTTATTACCCATCCAAAGCTCTTTAATTGTTTCTTTTCCTTTTCCCAATCAGAGTGCAGCTGTTTGGGGATATGACGTATCGTGCACGCGAACACAGCGTATACCACGTGACACACTGTTTTCTACAAAATTCTATTTATTTCTAGTAAATTCGTTGTTTTTTTTATGGCCAATTCTATCTTCAGTCAGAGAAAAAAAGTAAATATATTACCCATTTACGCTGTAATTTGTTGGAGAGCTTATCTTTTTTATATTCCACTTTAATCAAACCACTCACACGTTACATAATCATTTGTAAAAGCACTTAATTTTGGTTTGAAATTATTTTATATGCTTTGAAAGAAAAAAATAATTTAAAATATCGGTTCTATAAGTTCAACTGAATAAATATAAAATATCAATACATTAAATATTAACAATTAAACTGAGTATTGCATTAAAATCTTGTATCTATCAATCTTAACAAAAGGAAGATTACATTGAGATTATAATGACGCTTCCGAAATACAGAATTATTCTCATACTTAGTCGATCAAGAATATTATAAATATTAGAATATGCCTGTTTTTACAACACTCGGCCGCTAGATGGGGTATGTTTATTGTAAACTTCCGCACAGTAGTAATTATTTCTTTTGTTTGGTCTTACAGGCAGTTGCGTGTTTTGATTAAGCCTTTTTGTAAGAGGTAAAATACATGAACTTATACTATAAAATTATTTCCGCCTAATATTATTCAAGGTCTACAGGTGACAAACGGTCTTCGAGTTGTAGGTAGAGCTGCCTGACAAATAATGCTCAGGGATAACTTTGACCCTGACAGACGCTAGTGGTGAGCTAAACATTGTGAAAGGCTCACGTTCGCGTGACGATTGCTGTAACTGAGCATAAAATAGTCAGTGGTGAGTCCGTTTAGATTATTAACATTAATAATTTGTTGTAATGAAACATGTTTGACTCAAAACAACTGTCCGGGGCGTTCTTACTCTTGTAAAACATGTCAACCTAGCTAAGTTTTTACATTTCTTGCTAGCTTATCCTGACTCACTCGTGCTAATTAATTAGAAAACATCTTGAATATTTTGTAAACGTGTCTGTGTGTTCAAAGAGGCTGGATACAGATATAATGTATCCAGTTTTTGCGCATGACAAGCTAATGCTTCCTCACAGAAAGGAGTAGGACAAGTTCCTCACCACGAGGTGGAGTTAAAAAGCAAATAGACGCTTCCTCCTTCGTCATCCTGCTCTGCACTTGGTCCTTAGCTCCGAGCTACAAAGGCCTCCGCCTCCGGAGCCTGCAGACAGGGGGAACAACCAGACTTCAGGACTAAATAACAACCTCACTCTGAAACCAAACGTTGGAGCCAGTTGGCATCGTGCCCTTTCTCAGGCTTCTGTTCCCACAGTTTTTTCCACGTATCTGCACAGAATTGCAGCAGGAATTATATTGTCTTTGTCAAAGCTTGATTTTTAGACACACAAACAGTCCTGAACACACGACAAGTCCCCCTAGATATTTTTCTTACTGATGAGTAAATATTCCAGACTCTGACTCTATCTAGCGATGCTACGGAAGAGGATTTGGGAAATGAAAAAATAAAAAATTTGACTGATTTTTAAATTCTATTTCAGTTTAATATTGGCGGGAAAGTCATAATTCTGACTTTAATCTCAGAATTCTGACCCTTTTCCTCACAATTCTGACTTTTTTCCCTCAGAATTCTGACTTTAATCTGAGAATTCTGACTTTAATCTCAGAATTCTGACCCTTTTCCTCAGAATTCTGACTTTAATCTGAGAATTCTGACTTTAATCTCAGAATTCTGAACCTTTTCCTCACAATTCTGACTTTTTTCCCTCAGAATTCTGACTTTAATCTCAGAATTCTGACCCTTTTCCTCACAATTCTGACTTTTTTCCCTCAGAATTCTGACTTTAATCTGAGAATTCTGACTTTAATCTCAGAACTCTGACCCTTTTCCTCAAAAGTCTGACTTTATTTCTCAGAATTCTAACTTTAATCTGATAATTCTGACTTTTTTTTCTTAGAATTCTGACTTTAATCTCATAATTTTGATTTTAATCTCAGAATTACGGATCTTATTGTAGATGGGAACCATGAAGGAAGAGATGTGGGAGCACTCAGCTTTACTGACACATATGTGAGTTTTTTGGGAGGGCCAGACACACAGTGGTGGAAAATGACGCAATTAGGCAACTTTTTACCTATTTGAGGCGTCACCGGTGATGCTATTTCATTAATGAAACAGCAGAAGGTGATTAAAACAAGAGAGCTAGTCTCTAAAACAGACATGACTATGGCTTGATACTAACATGTTTGTTAACTGTCAGATTAAAGTCAGAATTCTGAGATTAAAGTCAGAATACCTTACAGCACCGCTGTTATTGCTGTTATGAATTTATAAAAATTCCAAGTAATGTAATTTCATTATTTGCTTTTCAACTATTTTAATTTGAAAATATCTGTACATATATATTTAACCAAATTAAAGCTCATGGTGAGTCGCTGGAATGTCATGATGACGGAGGAAAATAAAAAGATGATGTACCATCACAGTACATGTATTACAGTTGGATGTTTTACTGATAATCAGAGGTGTCAAGTAACAAGTACAAATACTTTGTTACTTTACTTAAGTAAAATTTTTAGGTATCTATACTTTATTACTTATTTTTCTTCCTACCTTTGACTTCTACTCATTACATTTTCACACAAGTATCTGTACTTTCTATTCCTTACATTTTTAAAACAAACGTTACTCGTTACTCTTGGCTTCGGTTTAATGTTTCTAAATATTTATTTCATGTCATGTGCTCCATCCAATGCAGATCATTGGCGCCATCCACATCAAGCGAAAACTAGTGTAATTGGATGAGTCATATAACGCAAACACGATAGCTAAAGGAAATAATCAGAAGCAAGCAGGTGTTCTTCAAACTGTAAATATGAATTGTCTATGCCATGCTACAATGTCAGATTCAGAAATAGATGTTGAAATGTCTGAAATGTCGGACACAGGCGAGAGAGTATCGGGAGACAGAGACGGAGACCAACAGGACACTCCCTCACCCTTGGCCCTCTCTCAAAGAATCTTTTGAAAATAGTTGAAAAATGTAGCTTTCAATTTATGTAGTGGCATCTGGCTGTTTCTTTTAAAGGTTACTTTATACTTTAAGTAGTTTTTGAAGCACATACTTTTTTCACTTTTACTTGAATAAAGAGGTCAATTTGATACTTCAACTTTTACCAGAGTGTTTAAACTGTAGTATCTATACTTCTACTTAAGCAACAAATGATTGTACTTTTGACACCACTGCTGATAAAATTCTCCCCAAGTACCAGTATTGTATTAAATAAACATGTTTTTATGTTAGATTAACAGTTATTATTTGTAGTTAATTTTAGTAAAGTCTATAAACTAATGTTTATTAGTCTTTAAGTCTGTTATTTAATGGCTGACAGATCTAGACTCTAATAGATGAGGCCAAGCAGACCGATCAGTTCTGGTTTCTTTCCAGATATTCACATCCTCAATAGTTATTATTGTGTGTTTTTAGGAAACAATGTATTATTAATATTACAGTTTAAAATTGCATTCATCATACTGGTGTTGAATAATATATTTTCGCTTAGTAATTTATTTATTCTGTGATTAAAACTTTGAAATTATATTGTTGATTTTCCTTTCAGATTCCTGTCTTTCTATTCTACAGCATATGGATCTAAACACGGAGATGGACCATATGTCTACAAACGATAAGGGTTAGTACCTCGGTTTCATTGCACATGCAAATTTTGTAATAACACATATGCTTAATAGTTTCATCCTAGCACCACCAGTTCAGGTTTCTAGTCCAAGTTTCATTTATCTACCACTATAATGCGATTGCAATGCACTTTTCCCCATGTTTTCTTTTATATTTTCAGTTTATTACATAAAATCTGCATTATATACATCATATAGCATTATTTAATTGAAATACCTCAAATTTGAAATATTTTTTTTTGTTTAAAGTCAGTTTGGCATTTTACATTTGTTTCTTATATCACCCCTTCTCATGAGATATGTGCATAAACGTAGTAGACCTTAAAAACCTACCAAAAGATGGCAGTTTTAGTAACGATAACCACCCTATTCATTCCAATATCACCCAATATCTTTAATTTTCTTTAATATTTGGAGCAAATAAGGTGAACACCCTCATTTTTTGTTAAATGCTCAGACTAACTACTATTAACATAAAACAATGATGACTCTTTGTTGCAGCAAAGCCAGAGCATGTTTTAAATACAGTTCTTGTATCTCCTAAGTGTTCCTAAAGAAAGATCTGGGTTTTATCGGCAGTTTGAAGCTCTACAGAAAACAGTTCTGTTTAGTTCAGCTTTAATTTTAGATGTGGGGATGAAAAAAACATATCTTTATAACTTTATAGAAGGAAAATATATCTGCTGCTTTCAAATCCAATTTGTTCCAATCAAATACAGGCTCTAACAATAAAATGACACCCCTTTTCCAAATGGATTTGTCAATCTAGATTTATAAGCGATTTAAATCCACTTCAGCTTGTAGTAGGTCAGCTTTAAGTAGCCAACTGACATGTAAACAGTTCTTTAATGGGCCTCCTAATTTCCAAATGCTGCCATTCTCTTCATTTACTTGATTATGTTCTAGCATGTTTGACAATGCACAAAAGAAGAGAAGTGCTTGTTGAAGAATGTTGTGGCATCCGTCCAGTGGGTTTGAGCCATTTGCAAGGCTTCCAAGTCACACTGAAGCCCTTCTAGTGGCTGTAGTAACACCAAATGCCTCAATTAGATACTTGATCTTGGTGTTTCTATCACTCAGACAGCTGGTTGACAACATTAAGCCAGAGCTGCCAGTTGATTTTTATCTCCCGTACATATTTCTGCAGATGTTTTGCAATAGTTGGAATGAAATAGTGTTCGGTTTGATTACAGGAAAGTAAAACTAACCATTTACTAACTCATTCACCTTTCCAGAGGTGAATGAGTTCATGCACTTGATGGTTGTCTGTGTAATTCTATGTGGTAATAGGGTTATTATGTTGTAATGAATGGGGGTGCCTCCAGCTCTGTCATTCGCACTTCAGCCACGATCGTAAAGAAGCTACATGCTCAACATTCCTCTTCTCATAAAAACAATGAGACTGAAGTGGGCTGTGCTGTTTGTGTTTGTTTGTGTCCTTGTGCACATTATAGTCTCTGCGCGCTTGTCAGAGGGATGAATGGGCAGGAGTGGGGTGTATAACAGCAGGGAAGCCCATAGAAGGGCATAGGGGGCCTTGGAGCCATTCAAATGGTTCAAATTAAAGGACATTTGATGGAACCATGACAGGGATGTCTCATAATACCAGTCTTTGTCAACTTAATGCATAACTACTATACTTTGTAGTATTTCATTGTGTGAAATGATGTGGTGTGACAAGTCATGCCACTTTAGGGATCAGGAGTTCTTTTAAACCAACATTAAGGAACTTTCATAAAATATTTTCATAACGTTTGTAAATCTGTGTCGACTTACAACTAGTTGATCAGTATCGCTTTTACCGGCACTATGAAACTTTGAGGAGGGTGGCAGTAACCCTGCCATACAAAACAACTACAAAGGTGCAGACTGCTTAACGGCATTCGTAACTTTTCCCTTCCGTTATAAAGAAGGAAGTCAATGCGACTAAATTTCTCTGAGTGACTGCGTATCCGTGCACATTTTGCAGGGTTAATATTTAGGCAATGCGGCACCTACCTATTGGGATCTATATGTGTGTTTACTGTGTCTTGTCGGATGTGCAGGAATGCAGTACAAAACCAAAGATGAACGTTTGTTATTTATTTTCAACATCGCCATATGAAATTGTTTTGCCACAATTAGATTAATTACTTCATTGCTATTCATCTTTCACACAGCCACTGGGAAAAGAAAGGTAGTTTAATCCAACTGCAGACATTGACTGAGAACAACTGAGAAATTGTTCTTTAGGCAAACATTACAGCTTTTGTTCATTAGGGGAGCCAAAATGGACCAATGCTGAACTTTTTTAGAACTGCTTTAAGTACATTCTTGTTAACCGAGAATCAAGTTTTCTATAAGCAAAGGTACCTAGAGGTAGCTGTATTGGTATTGAAGCAAATTAGCTATTTAACGACTTTTTAACAACTCTTGTTTTTGAGATGAAAATGATGAATTGTGTATTTTTCCAGTGGCTGGATAATCTTGTATTTATCTGAGATATGTGTTTGCTACAAACACAAAACTAATTCAGTAACATCAAAAGCAACTAATAATCTCAAATCATTTAAAAGTAACTTTCACACACATATAATTGTATATTATATGCTGCCCTAATATTGTCCAGCCTTAGTTTCTAGAAAAGTCTGGAGTTTGCTTAAATCTGCAGGAGTGTAGAAACTGTCTAAACATTGGTGCATTTATTCACTTTCCATCTTTTATGAATTCCCTTTTTTGTACTTCAAACATTCTGTCCATCATCTCATCTGTTCCCCTTTCTATGCATCTGTCATATCATATTCCATCCATCCATCCATCCATCCATCCATCCATCCATCCATCCATCCATCCATCCATCCATCCATCCATCCATCCATCCATCCATCCATCCATCCATCCATATTAAACCTTACACATATACAAGTTTGCATAATATTTTAGATCATGCAAAGTAATTCATGTTTGTTTGTAAGTAAAACATTTGGTAAATGAAACAAAAATTTCAAGAGTTTCATATGTTCAACAAGAGAATTGAGAAATGTTGCCTAAAATTAAGAACCACAACGTGTTTTGCTAAAATGGATTAGAGGGCTTTGGACCTGCTTTCCCAGGCCATGTTCAGGAAGGCTGTATTTTTTACAGCATGACTAGCACATAGCCTTTTTCCTGGGGAAATCCGAGACAAAATCAAGAAAGCCTGGTTGCAGGGAGGGAGAGAAGAACAGGAAAACTAGCCCTGGGAAGGAAGCGGGAGAAGGTGAGGGGGTGCAGGTAGGCTGGAGGCCACACAGCACGAGTGACTAAGAGCGAATCTGGAGCTCCTGGGAAGGATCAGCGAGATGTGTATGTTTACACTCACTTCTGATTCTGGTTGAAAACTCCTCCATTCAAAATAATTTGGCCTAAAATGTGCTCGTTTTTTTTGCAGACCATTCAAGCTGCAGATTTGACTGGAATGCAGAGCTAATGCTGGGTTCCTCTGCTGTCCAAGCAGCTTCAGCTGTTAATCTGCTGTTATAGCCACTCTGCTATGCTTGTTAAAGAAATTATATCTGACGTAATTTGTACTTTACTGTGCCTTGTTTATCGGAACCATTTTCATTTAGCATGACATTAGTGATGAAGCTTGTATAACATCTGGAGGAAACATTGTAATAATGGTGTTATTACCTCTAGATTCAAACAATTTTCAAATTTCAAAGAAGAAATGTGAAAAGGTTTAGCTTACAAATCCAACAGCATCAGTGGAGTTGGACATAATCTTCAATATTTTGTGTTAAAAATAAAGGAAAGAGGAAACAATCCATTGTTTACCCTTTATTTTTAGTGCTGTAAATAGGTGCAGCTTCTAAAAAATCCTGTACCTTAAATTTTATTTCTAAAAGTCAAACATTTTTGTTTAACTTAAAATGAAGCTTGAAATGCTTGATTTTAAGGGTATTTTACTTACTGAAGCCACTCAGACTCCACCACCTGTTTTTTTTTTTTTATTCCTTCAGGTCTTGACCCCTTAATGCTTTTGGACCAATTCTTTGAGCTGTGGAACAATGATGGTCTGAAGATGGTAAAAATGACCCTCACAATGTCACTTTCACACATACTTTAATGCATATGTTTGAACGACGGTGGAAAATAGGTCGTGTGTGTGTTTGTGTTTGCAAGAGTCCCAGGAATGAGCAAACAAGTGAGCGATCCTGGCATCTTTGGCTGAACTATGAATGTGTTTGTGTGTTAATGGGGAAAGCAGAAGGAAGGAATTTGTGTTGCTCTGAATGAACTTGAGAGGTGGATATTGAGTGGATGACATCTGTTTTGTAAATTAAGACACCGTTTAAGGTATTCTCACACAGATATCATTTTCTCTTGTTGGAATTTCCTAATGCCAAGCTTTGCATTCTTATACCACGAACCCTTGTATAACCTTAACCTCTGGGTCTCTTTGGCTCATAGAGCCAGCTTTCTTTGTGTTTCATGAAATAAGATTTGTCTGTCCTACAAAACAGTTTCTCAGTAGAAAAGGAAATCTGCAGAGAATCAGGGTTCCTGCCCGGTCCCAAGTTTCATTGAAGTGTTTTCCAGGCCTGCAACCTGGAAACAAGTTTGGAAAAAGAAAAGAAGAGGATGGAAAATGGGTTTTGTGTCCAGATTCATCCTGCATCCTTTGATTCATCCTTGTGTTTGTCCATCTATTGATATGTATTTGATGCCACTGTGCTGTCTTTTAAGATAAATGATTTAATTAGATTTTCATCAATAATATTGGTGAAGCAATAATCAATTAGTAATTTAAAACAACAATTTATTATTAGCATTTAATCTAGTTGTTTGAATTTCAGTTTCACTAGATTGACCATATCAATAAGCAGGAGGTGACTGAGACTAAACCTTATACACCTCCATTCACCATTATACCTCTGGGATTTACAGATGGTGTCAAAGGTTTTTCTTCCTCATTATTGTAATATCTGTTGGTCAGAACTAGATTGAAGAACTTTTCTGCTTTTTGCATAGAAGTTCTTGGTTTGTCTCCAGTGTATCAGTTGGGATCTTTAGTCATAGATATGATCTCAAAATATGGTATCTCTGTGGCAAACCTATGATCACATATGTTTCTACTAGTTTCTACATGGTCAACTCATAGACTTAAGAGATTATACAGTCTTTTGTCAATTTCTGCACCAAAATTATTGTAAGTATATCAAAAGCTGCATTTATGATGGCCATGTTGAGCTTAGTGGAGGTGAATGACCAGACTAGATACACGATATATATGCGTGTCCTTTTGTCTGCATCAATAAAAAGTTTGTCTAAAGGTTTTGAAGAGACCCACCTACAAGCTGTTTTTTTCCTATCTTGAAAGTCACCTTCCCCTCCTCCTTTTTCAACCCACAGCTACATTTGGCTGCCATCCAAGGATTTCCAAAGCTGTCTGAGCCTCTAGAGGCCTTGCTAACAATCCTGGAGAGATGTCCGGGGAAACAGAAGGGTCGAAACCACACCCTGGGTTCTCACATTCTCATGGAATTCCAGACGTGGATAAAGGAACATCCTCAGGTAGTTAAGCCAGGAGCCATGCATCAATTACATCAGCTGCAAGTATTGATTGTGAGCTGTTCAAGTGCTTTAGCTTCGTTAATGTCTACACATTCCTCCTGGAAAATGTGTTCTTTAGACTTTCATAACAAAGGCTTTCCTATCTGTGCTAAAATCATCTTGATAAAATACTTTATTTTGAATTAAAAAACAAAAAAATTATGTTCGGATTTTTCTTCTATGGTCAACAATAAACTAAATAAGCAGCATCTTAAATGGAAGAGAGAAATCTTAACAGGAAAGGCTGGTCGGTCACACATTTTGCTTTATTAAAAGGAAATTCCAATATCATAAAGTGGAAGAATTATTGTTTTTCATTTTTTTTTTTCATTACAAAATGTTAAACTATTATTGGCAGCAAGAAGGGGGTAATGATGACTATTTTTTACAAAATACTTTATTTCTCTAACCATGTTTATTAAATGGGTATTCCTAGTCTGCTTTTGATTACATGGTCCTGTTTACGATGAAATCCAAATGAAAGCACAATGAGTTATTAATGAGTAATTAAAGAAAGTACAACATTGTGGGGGTTAAATAGCAGTGTGGACTGCTCCAAATCATTTATGTTCGACGTTCCAATGTAGAAAATGGAAATCCCTTCAGACGTACCTCAGTGCATATTTATACCAAATCAGAATTGTTTTAATTTTTCACCCTACCAGGTGAGCCTGAACTCTATCTCTGAGGACAGAGCAGTGGAGCTTCAGATCCGGGCTCTCGGCCTGCTGACAGACATCCAGCCAGACTTTGTAGACGGCCTCATCAACATCTACCAACTCGAGTCCTTAGACCCCTCCATACTGTGTTTGCATATTGTCAAGCTCCAGACTCTAAGATGTTATAAAGAAGTGAGCAACTGATCTTACCCTTTTTTTTTTTTAACAATGAATTCATTCCTGTTGATATAATTTAAAGTATTAGCTTAGTTTTGGTACTTTTTAAAATACTCTGTGTTCTTCTCACAGGCTATAACGCTTAGCATAAAATTCGAATTACAGACTGAACTCAATCCAGAGGAGGTGAGACTTTTAATCAGTGTTGGTAATCTAGAATTGGCACAATGAATTAGAAAGATTGCCTCAAGCTAGTTGGAAGGGAAATTCTCAGAAGATCTTTGTTCTAATACTCTTTTTATTTCTATCATCAACATTATTTTACAGATGCTTGTCCCACTGATTTTACAAGACAAGTTGCAGTTGGCAGAGTCCTTTGTCAAAGGACACAGCCATTTAGAACAACGGCTTGTCATGTTACTAGACTCTTGGTGTCATCCGGACTTCAACTTGGAAGATATAAGAAAGTAGGCTGCCTGGGGTGAATCTGTGGGAAAAGCGTGTAAACTGTTCCTTTGATATTTATTGGCACCATTGGTTACCAGGTTTAGAAGGCCCTGAATAAGCTTAATCTCACAATGGAAATCTAACTTTTAAAGAAATATTTCTGGCAAGATCAAATTTGCAGCTAAATTAATGTTACTCTGCCTAACATTCTCTTTATATTATTATTAAATGTTGGAATTTTTAACACACCTGAACCTAATAATAAGACAAGGAGTAGGACTCTGGATAAGCTTAATGCATTTTTTACTATTATTATATTTGACAAGTTGATATGTTGAGATTAGAAGAGTTGTCTTTAGAACTTCCAGGTGGGATTACAGAACCCAAGTATGACTTTAGAAATATCTATAACTCTGATTTAAGGGAAATCTTCATATTATTATTAGAATCAGATTCTGTATCTACTCTTTTTTCTGATCAGACCAGCACAGTAAGATCATGTCGTGACTCTGCGCTGTGCACATCACAGCCTTCTGATGTAACGGCTGCTCCCCTCACTTTGAATTGTGACTGTTTGACACACTCATTATTACTCCTCACAATAAAGCAGACTCCTAACAGACTCCATGTGGGTGGATCAGTGTAGTCTACTTGAATTACCCATCTGTACTGGGGCCTCTTAGCTGGTTCTCTATTCTACCAAGTCTTTGTAGATCATTAAATAAACAGTTAATCTAAAAGGATTTTAAGATAGTACTTTTTTTTGTAGTAGTAGTAATCAATGGGTTTGATTACAGATTTGATTGCAGATTACCTTGGAAATCTGCTTAGAAGATATGAGAACATGGATACTTTAACTTATATTTGTAAGTTAAATAGAAATCTAGTGGAAACCAGTAGAAAAAGTGAATAAAAATGCTTAGAATGAATAATAATCCAGTCTACCAGACACAAAATTAGCATTTTTAGCGTTTTTATGCGGTCAGTTAATTGATCTAAATCTTGTTCATATGCCAACATTGTGAAACATCATAGTAGAAGATCATATATAAGGGGAAAAGATTAAGATATATTTTTTTCCAATGTTGAAATAATGAACCTAAATATGATGTTTCAATATACAGAGTCTTTAGCAGATCATTCGCTGCAATGAACAAAATGATTTCTACTTTTTAGATCTTTACCAGCGGTGCTGATAAATATTACAAGAACAGTATGTGTAAGCATCTTCATCCTCTTAATTTCTCCATAAGTTTAAATACCTGTGGGTGCGTTTTTGCTTCCGCAGGCATTTTCCTCAACTCTCTCTGTCCAAACACTACGCAGCACAGGTTCAACCTAAATTGCTCACCCGACATGTCTATCGACTGATGGAAAAATTCAAAATTGATCAAAGTGAGTGACTAACGTTTTATTTTTAATGTATTTGTTTGACTTTTCCGCATAACCAGAACTCAACCTCCTCTTTTGAAACAGGTCTCTGTCCAAATGCTCTTCACAAAAGGAGACTGGACACTCTGCGTTACCTTATGTTTAAGAGATTTGGGGAGGTAAGTAAGGCAAAAGGCTCTTGCAGCCTACAGATGTCTAAACATGGTAAATTTAATTTTAACAGTGTGCTATGCTGTTCATTTATTGGTAGATGATTGTGCTTTTTTTTTGTAGAAAACAATGACAGAGGAAAATTGGACTGATCATGTGCAAGTAGGATTTGTGAATACAGTCTTTAACCTGATAGTTTAATATATAATGTTTTTATTGTACTATTATTATGTAAGATATCCAGTGTTTCATTTGTGTCATATATGCCCAGTATGTTGTGGCAGATGACCTCCAGCTGCAAGTCCATTTGGTAGAAATGTTGGTGAAGTACAGCTGTCTTCAGAAAGCTGCTCAGTGGTCACTGAGGTACAAAATTCCCAGAAATAGACTTCCACTGGGGGTATGGGAAACGCAGCAGTCCCTGCCACCTGATCAACAGTGAGTTGAGTAAAGATATGCATACAAACAATGGAACTAAAGTAATGATCTTGTTTCATGCTCTCTATAATCTATGTTTTTGTTTTTTTCTCCTCCTGGCTGTAGTCCAAATTTCTCTTGTTTTACTTGTACTTTTGTCTCCTATGAAAACCTAGAAATGGCATATTTCCTCTCTGTGCTCAGACAGATATGTTCTGATCCCATCACTCCAGAGGAGTGGGTGCCACCTCAGTCTCACTGCCAGAAGTTCTACCAGGTTCCGCTCACCAAAGACAAGGTCTACTTTATAGATACGCTGGAAACTCTTCACAGATGCCAAAGCATTGTCCTGAAGGTAAAGAGATCTACAAGTTTTGCTCAGTTTACTTGCGTTTTTGTATTGATGCTCCCTTTTCTGTATCCCGTACCAGGAAGGTGGTATAGTAGGACTCGACATGGAGTGGCAGCCTACATTTGGCTGTGCCTCTTCTCAGAAAGTGTCTCTCATCCAACTTGCTATGCTGGACCAAGTTTTCCTGTTGGACCTCTCAGCAAAAGCGTTCTGTCAGCAGCCTGATCTACTCGGTTTCATCAGGGCATTGTATTCTGAACCAAATATTCTGAAACTGGGTAAGAAACAATCTAAAGAAATAGAAGTAGTATCATCCAGATATTTACTTTAATTATAAAGAAAGTCCCTTTTTTGTGCAGGTTATAGCATGAGTGGGGATCTCAAGTGTCTCTCTGCCACCTGGCCTGAGCTATCAGAGGAGCCGCTGAAGATGGAGGGCTTTCTCGATCTTCTTAGGGTACACCAAAAGGTGCCTTTATCCCATCAATCATGACACAACAGCAAATTAACTCTAAAAGGTCCATAAGTTTGAAAAGATTTTAAATGGATTTCAGAGCAGGTCTTTTTCTTTTTTCATCTTTAACACTCTCATAGACCAACACAGATTGTTTCTACTAATTCTAAGGCTTTTTATAAACCTTTCAAAGGAAACTGTAATATCTTTTATGTTTCATTGTTTTTATCTTCTCCTCTCTCCTTGAATTTATATTAGTTTTCTTTAGCAGCAGAGGCGTTGTCACGCTGGGTTTAACTTAGTAAAGCAGCAGCACTACAATTACATAATTTATATTTTCTTTAGCATCCTGTTTAATCAGCATACAGCCTTAACCCTGGCATCATTTTTGTGATTTATTTCGGAGATTATCCACTTAAACACTTGAGATTTCCATGCAGCTGCATTCATTTCCAGATCCAGCTTGTTTTATTAAACACAGAGGCTCAAAGCGTAAGAAACTGACCAACTCTGCGGTACACTCAGCCTTTCTTTTATATTTATATCAGAATCCAAAAAGGAACCAGTTGAAGTGGTTTGGACATCTGATCCCTCATCCAGACCAGAAGTTGTTAGAGAGATTATAGCTACCATGTGGTCAGGGGATGACTTGAGAATGAGCTTGAGCTTTCTCTAGAGGGATGAGGTGTAGCTGGAGGTGTCTGGATTTTCCTCTTGGACCTGTTAGATTTATGTTTGTAAAAAAAAAAGACTAAGGATGGAAGGAAGGATAGGGAGGGAATAAAGGAACATAGTCAAAGAGGAAAATAGCCAGCAGTCTACAAGAACAAGTTTGATATATCTGACCAAAGTAACAATACATTGACTAATAGTGATTCTACACTTTAATGCCCTTTAAAAACTTACATTTAAAGGGATTCACAGCTTTGGAAACTTGCTTTTTAAACAAAATAATCATTAGCTGACTTTGATTAATTTTAGCATAGCAACAATATTTACACTGAAGTATGTTGGACTTAGTGTTGTGGTTTCAGTTTGATATGGTGCGTTCACTGACATTCAGAAGCACTTAGAATGAAAACCAGTTCTTTACCATCACCAGCCAATTTTTTGTTGCTCTTCTAGGAGAAATATCTAAAGGCATCAAAACAAGAGAGCTCCATCTGTGTCTAATATTACAATACAAATGTGTTTTCTGCTTTACTTGTACAGATTCAGTGTGGAAAGGTGAATCAGTTACCAAGTGGCCCTAGGGAGGTCCTGGTTGGTGAGGACAGTGCAGAAAAAGGCCTCAGTCTGCTGGTGCAGCAGGTCCTAGGAAAGCCTCTGGACAAGACACAGCAGATGTCCAACTGGGAGAAGCGTCCACTACGCATCAGCCAAATTAGATATGCAGGTAAGGCATTATGCATGCATAGACAGACAATAACAGGGGGCCAGATGGTCGCTGCTCTCCTCTCCATAGAACATCAGAGATTATTTTGTTATCCTGTGACAAAATGCAAACTGATGAATCCACCCCCCTTGTTCCGCTCTCTTTCTCCTTTTCCGAAACCTTTCTGTAGTGGCAGATGCCTACTGTTTGCTAGACGTGTTCTCCACTCTCTACAGCGACCCAGCAAGCTTTGGGCTGCCAGCTGACCTCCGCAGTATCACTTCAGGCCAATCAGAGACAAGAAAAGACAAGAAGCAGAAGGAAAAAAAGGGCAAGAAGACGGAACAGGCTCTTGGCAAAGAGGTAAGGCCTCAGCTGGTAATAACAACACTCCTAAGAATGTAAAAAAAATTTATAGTTTATTAATCTACAATCACAAAAGTAGATGTTAATTTTTTATACCTTTAAGAATAAATGTTATATTTTACATTAACGGTTTGCTAAATCACGCCCATACCTCCTAAATTTTAAATCATTACATTTTAGATTAATTTTAATATTTCAAGGTTTTCAGTATTGTCTAGCCAACACGTACATTTTTAAACTTGTTCTAGATGCATTTAGGTTCTCCTAAAGCTCCCAGGCCAGCAGGGGGCTCTAAGCAACAGCAAAGAATGTTTATAAACTGAGCTGAGACTGAAGGGTACAGTTATTATTCCTGCTATACCATCTCTACTCCTCCCACAGACCTAAACCCCATGACTGCTTTTTTTTTTAAATCTCTTTGAAAATAAAACTACTCTTTGTTCAGCCTGTCAGTACTTTTTTGTATTTTAGTTTGAAATCAAATGACTTCTGAAATCGTAAAGGGCAACGACTAAAAATAGTGATCTAAACCTGTTTGAGAGATTTCCTCACTGTGAGGAATTACAGGAGTAATGTTATCTGTAGTTGATACTGTCTTGGCATTTTCTTTATTTTTTTTTTAATAAAAGGTTTGACCTCCGATCTGAAATGGCAATAAGTCCATACGATTGCAATACCCAAAGACCAAGGATCTATATTGGTTGGATCAACAAAGCAATTTCATAGAAAATTAGCCACAGTGCTACTTTAAGGCGTATTGACTTTGGGGGAGATACATTTTTGAATGTGTAAATCAAAACAATTTGTTCCTTTTATTAATTTTTATGTCACATATACTTTAATTCATTTTTTTTGGTGTTGCTTTTTTAATTCTGAGCCCTGTAACCAGATATTGTTTAAATTTACATTATAGACAGTGGGATTACATAGTTCAAGTCCTAATATATTTGGTATTTGCAATAGGAAAAGACTGCTTAGATCCAATGTTGGACAATATATCCTATTTCAAATGACATGCAAACACTTTAAATTTTATTTACCGTCACGTGGACAAACTTTTAATGCCTTTTATTTCCATACTAGATGTATGTTTTTCATTACTGCTACTTTGATTCTCAAAAGGGATTTGGGCATGAGATTTAAGGGGAATGCCAGTTTTTTTACATTGGGCCCTTAATTTGATGTTATTACATCATGTTCTACTCACCCATATGAGTTTTGTGTCATTTGGAGCTGTTCTGAAGATATTCTGTTTGGTTATATCCAGGTAATGTCTTTCCTTTGGGTAACGACTTGAAGGCACAAACTAAACTGTTCATAATTTATCATTTATTGTACGCCAGCATTCATAACATGTAGGCGAATCACTTTCCTCCAGACATCCGTGGTTATATTTTTTATATTTAATATCTTTTAAAAACAAAGCGGAGCGTGTATGACGTCATCTGAACGATTCAGATTAGCTATTCGAACGAATAGAAGGGGTAGAGTGTAGCCGCCTGTGGCCCGGGCTGCCTGTCACAACTCCAGTCTGGCGCGCGGATGACATCATACAGGAAGACGTTATTTGGATATAACCTAACGGAATATCTTCAGAACGGCTCCAAATGACACAAAACTCATATGGCTGAGTAGAACATGATGTAATAACGTAAAATCAAGGGCCCAATGTAAAAAAAAAACGGTGTTCCCCTTTAAGTAAAAATTGGTCACTATCATAATTGCAACATTAAGCAATACTATCACAATTTCATGATGTCTTGGTGTTGTGCTGCTCTTAATTAACTGATGCTGTAAACAAGTGTTGTTTTGTTTTTTGTTTTTTTTACACTTTTTTCTGTTTTAACTTGTGGGAATGCCTGTAGATCATTTACCATTTAGAGAAGTGCAGGTATGCTATTTTCAGACTGTAATGATAAGCCACAAACAGTCCTTTTTGAAGACCAACTGTGCTAATTTGACAATTCTTAAATCAGTGATAACCTGTGACCTTTTGTGTGACTTGTGAGAATGAATAAAGACAACCTCCAGCTGAAGGCCCTGGGTTTGAGCATCCAGCCTGCAGGGAGGGACAAAGAGTGTTTGACAAAGGCCCTTCACGAGTTCCTATCAGCTCCAGGGGTGCAGTTGTATAACTCACCCTGTGCTTTGACCTCTCTGAACTGAGGTGCAAGTGAAAAGAAAATCCCCCTACAGGGATCGGTTAAATATCACATTATTCTCTGTGTCCATTTAGGAATGTCAGGGGGCTCAGAGGGTCACTCCCTCTCATTCTGACAAAGTGAAAGGCCTCCTGTGTGGCAAGCTGCCCCCAGAAGATTCCCCACCTCTACCCCCACAGCAGTTGCGGGTGGTGTGTGACAACATGCTGCAGGGACTCGGAAGATATCTGCGGTGTTTGGGAGTTGACGTGGTCATGCTGGAGAACAGCGACGATCACAGAGTGGCGGCACAGGTTGGTTAGAAATAGAGCATTTCCATTTTTTCCCCTTTTTTTTTAAAGAGAAAAAAAGAATAAGCCACCTCAGTCAAAACAAAAACTCAAAGGGGTTAAGTCAGACTTTGATCATTTTGCACCAATAAAGCAAAGCATCCTAAAGGCATCAAAGGTATTTTCTATAAATACATTGTCTGCTTAAAGGCGTTTTATGTAGAAAGACATAATTTTATTAATCTTGGTTAAATGATTTAATGCCATCTACTAGAGATTAAGCGATACAGATTTTTAACACCCTTCTTATTATTTTGACATCAGTCTAAACAATCCTTGATACGCATTCCTGATTTTTGAAGACAATCTTGATTCCTTTCTCCATTTACATTATAAAAGTAACACCAATATAACAAATGTTTTACTAGTCTAAATTTAAATGAAAAGAAGCATTTATTAGCAAATCAAACAACATCATAAAAATGGATAGCATATGTTGCGGGTGACAATCCATGCACTTGGTGTGGTCATAATTCATGGCTGCTGAATCAGCCAACGCATGCACATATTAGCTGATTCAAGAAAAAACTAATATTGACAAAAATGTGTGCTGCTCTGTTATCTGCACCCTGCTTGAACTAACAGCTGCTGTTACTCACTTTTTAGCCACAATGCACAATCTTATATAAAATAATTATAAGTCCTTTATTCAGCAGACAAAAGCTGATGGAAAAATGTTATGTCATAGTTATACTATGAAGGTGATCTATATGTCCATTTTGGTACTTGGAGATTAGATAGTTCCACCTCATGTTAGAAAAATACTGTGACATCATTAGCTACAGCATTATTATGGTTTTAAAATTACCTCTAGCTAAATGTTGCTATATGTCCAGGTTAAGCTCACCTGTTATCTAACCTTATTTATCAATTTTTTGTATGGTTTTCGATGGTTGAATCATATGAGTTATATCTAATGTACAGTATACAGCATCCACAAGTTTGACTTTGATGCTGCATGATGGATATTAAATAAAAATCAAAGGCTTGGTGCAGTTATTAATTAATTAGTGGCTTTTATTGTATATTTTCAGCTAGCTCAAGCTGAAGGCCGTGTCATCCTGACATGTGGTCAGCCATTCCAGACTGTAAGTAAACATGGAGTCAAGTATGATCTACAAGCCAAATAGTTTCTGGTAGCTCTGATTTTTCTCTATATGTTTATGTTAACATTAGCTGCTTTTTCTAGTTGCGTTCCCAGGTGGGTGAAGGTCGCTGTCTTTCCTTAGACTGTTCAGAGAAGGCCAGAGACCAGGCCATTCAGGTCCTCAGACACTTTAATGTCCAGCCTTCTCCCAGCGATATATTCAGCCGCTGTCAGGTAAATTTCCTTCTAACTATGTTTCTGTAGTCTAGTCAAAGGCAAAGATCATTTAATGGCTTCATTGTTGACTGCTCTTTGAATTAAAATGCTGCACTTACACCACCTTGCAAAGGTTTTCTGCATTTTCGCATTAAAACTAAAAACTGTAATCACTATGTTGGGTTTGCTTGTGACTGACAGTGAGAAATAGGATACATTTGTAAAGTGAAAAAAACAAAAACACATTGGTATTAGACAGTAAATTCTGAAAACACTTTAAAGTATTTGCTTTGCTGCCTTAGTATGTATGTATTTTTTTTGGCAACTGCAGCAATGATCACGTTTTGCCACACTTTTATAAGTGAACGTTTCTGGTTCAGGGCAAGGACTTTTTGCATTACCTCTGTAATGTTAAAGGTTCAGGGTTGAAGTGGATTGCTAAAGCATTATGCTTCATTCACACCAAACTAGCTATGAGCAGCAGGAGGTTTACATGCAAAGTGTATCAATCCTGCAGCTCATTTCGAGCAGCTGGTGCAGCTCGACATTTGCATCTAAACATCTGAGGCGCCTCACACGAAGTCGACGCTTCAGTTGGACCACATGTCACAACAACCAGAGAGGCTCTGCTATGTTTTTCTCGGTAGGCTATGTGGGCACCAATGCAGGTTGGTCAGGTTGTCAAACTGGGTTTGGGTGTGACAATATACCTCTAGAAATGACCGCCATCATCGCGCAACTCTCTGAAGGAAGGTGGAGAAACTCTCCACAAACAGATAGCCTCCAAAGTATCTGTGAATCCAGACAGCACCGATTTGCCTAATGACAGCGTTATGTAGCTTTATTTAGTAAATAAAACCAGGTCAATCTTTCAATTTCCACCATAATTGTTCAAGACACAAGCAAAGAGAAGAGGGTAGCTCCCCCAACGCTGTGTTAAAGAAGATGCTTCTTTGCTGCTCAAAGTGTGTTTTAATGTGAAAGCAGCATTAATGAGAGATTGATATAAACAGACAACAGTTTATTACACTTTCTGTGAACTCAAACATCATATTGGTTTATAAAGATATTGGTTACTTAAAAGCTCTTTGCTTCACGCTGCTATAGTTGCTACACAACAGATGTTAAACTGTGATAAAGGTGCTAATAGGTAATTCAAGTTACCACCATCATCATTGAAAAGATTTCAATGATAATGTGGATGAATATTATGATAATCATCTCAGTAACGACAAATATCTACAGTTTATCATCTTTGATGTCTGTGCTTCCTAAATTCCTCTTTGCAATATGATAAGACTCCTTTCAATAGTGTGAATGTATTGTTGGTTTTCAAAGTTTGTATTCCTGACACATACAGCGCACCACTTGACAATATTACTTCCCAAACAGACCTTTGAGATTTAGTTTTTTCAACAATTATTTTGCAAGATCCAGATATATTTAATGTCCTGAGCAGTCCAACACGTCTAAAGTATGACACAGAAAGACTGTATTATCATATGAGCATGAAGGGGATGTTAAGCATCTGGATGTTAGTTTTAACTCTGCATTATGTTTAACCTATCTAAACTTTGCTTCTATAATGCTTTTTTTTGCATTTTTGTTTTGCTAAGCTGTCTGTGAGAAAGAGGAAGAACGTCTCTTTTTTTAGAGGGAACTCTAACCAAATTGAATAATGAGGAAGTACTTCTGTGGTTTGAAAGCTTACTGAGTTCTCAAATTATATAAGCAAAATCTGCTGTGGTCATAACTTATTTTATAATGCATACGAAAGCTGAACAAACTCATTTAAAAGATGGGAAAGTTATCAGGGGCAATGCTGTCGTGTAGCAAGATGTTGCAGAGGCAGTGGAGGTTGATGGGGAACATGCTGCACTCTCCTGGAGATACAGGCCCAGAACAAATTGAATTTGACCTGTTTTTGCTCTGTATGCACTAAACATCTGAAAGAAGTTGCTCTGTATGCACTATTAGTCTGAAAGAAGTTGCTCTGTATGCACTATTAGTCTGAAAGAAGTTGTTACATAGCAGTAAAGCTGCACAAAGTGAAATGTTAAATAGAAGGAATCAGAGTGCTTAGTTTTGTGTTGGCATTAATGTGGGTATTACAGTGCGATTTAGAGGCCGAAAAAAAACTTATATTAAACTGTTGGGTAAAGGAACTGCTTTCATGTGGAAAGCTACAGATTAACGTCTCACTATATCTAATTAGTAAACCTCCTGGTAGCCTCCTTGTGGAGGTATTCCAGGCATGTCCAGATGGAGGGAGGCCCTGAAGCAGACTCAGGAGACACAGAAAGGGATTGCATTTCCCATCTGGTCTGGGAATGCTTTGAGACCCACAGCAGTGACTGGAGGATGTGGTAGGGAGGACAGACGTCTGGATTACATCGTTCAGCTCAGGGGCCACCAGAGCTCAGACTTTGTACCGATGCTTGACAGTAGAAAGAGATATTCTAAGCAGTCAGGAATTGCTCAATACATAAAAAAAAATAAATTTTAAGGACTATTTAAAGGGTGATGGAAGGAAATCTGATCAAGAAAAGCATTAAAAGTTCTTCACTCCAGATTTTGTACAAGAACACTGCAAAAACAATCCAGAAATAAGTAAAAAATGGCTTAAATTAAGTATATTTAGCCTTAATTTGAGCAGGTAAATAAGATGATTTGCCAATGGAATGAGTATTTTCACTCTTAAAATAAGATAGTTAGATAATATTTACTTGAAATAAGACGATAAAATAGTTTTTTCTTATTTTAAAAGGAAATTGTCTTGTTCCATTGGCAAAGTGTCTTACTTACCTCCTCAAATCAAGGAAAAACACACTTATTTTAAGAAAAAATAACTTATTGAGATTTATATTTTTTGCAGTGAAATATTTAAAAGATCATTCATAGATGTAAAATTTATTTTTTATTCCAAATAAATTATGTTGGTTCAGACCAAGCAAACTATTCTATGAACTCTAATGCTAAAAATCTGAAAATGTTTTGATTGAACATTTACCTGTTGATAAACTTTGCATAAACATGCCAGATTTAGTATGAAGGTTAATGATATAACCAGCAATAAACCACACTGCAAAAACAATCCAGAAATAAGTAAAAAATGGCTTAAATTAAGTATATTTAGCCTTAATTTGAGCAGGTAAATAAGATGATTTGCCAATGGAATGAGTATTTTCACTCTTAAAATAAGATAGTTAGATAATATTTACTTGAAATAAGACGATAAAATAGTTTTTTCTTATTTTAAAAGGAAATTGTCTTGTTCCATTGGCAAAGTGTCTTACTTACCTCCTCAAATCAAGGAAAAACACACTTATTTTAAGAAAAAATAACTTATTGAGATTTATATTTTTTGCAGTGCACTTAGCCCTAACTTCTCTAAACATTGCAGGACTTTTAGTCTAATTGTTACTTTCATGGCTTTTTCTCTGGGTTTTCAGTGTGCTTACTTCTAATTTTGGACCCCTCTATGGCCTAATGGGGCTCTAAACCGCTATCATTGTTTCTCTCAGTTAATAGAAAAGAAAAAAAAAATCAGTTTTACCTTAAATGTACCCTAAAGGTATTAAAATAACTAATTCCTTTCCATAATGACCTCCATTTTGGATCCTGGATTAATAAAATATAGGCAGTGATGTGTGATACTGTGCGTGTTTCCAGATAAATAATATTTTTACAGTAACGTTCCCACCATATAAAAAAATTCTCAATTTTATTGGCTTTAAATATTCAAATATTTGTTACTTTCAACTATAAATGTATTCTGTCATGTTTATGGTGTCAGAATTATAATTCACATAGAGTTATCAGAGAGGCCTCTGATTTATGCTACCTGACCTGTGGTTGTATCTGTGGGTGGCTGTTTAGGGAAGCTGTGCGTCTGCTGCCGACTCTGTTTGTGTTTGTTGTTCAATGGGGATCTTTGCGAGAGGGTTCTTAAACCTGGGTGTTCTGACCTGCTCCTTGAGGACGAAACAAGAATGTCAAAATACGTCACTCGGTTTATCTCTGTCAGGCTTGAAATGTTACAAATGTGGACCACCTTGATGCTCCCTGTCCAAACCCAACTAAACCAGTTATACCAAGGCAATAATGTGTTTCACTACCGTTAACACCTCAAAGGGATGATATTTTTGCAATAAAAGAACAAAAAGTGAGGCAGATTATGTCTTTAATCTAATAATTATTAATCCAGTGGAGGTGCAAATATGCCAGCAAAAGAACATCTATCATCTTTTATCTCATGGCTTATGCTTTTCTGATATTCCTCTTAATGCAGCGGTTATTCTATATTTATTTCTAATTAAGTATCTCAAAAAACTGTCTTCTCCTAAAGTTTAATTTCAATATTACTTTTCCCCTACGATTTGACAGGTTTGATGAAAGTTAGTACCCCTGCTGTGTGTGTGTGTGTGTTCTCTAGAGAGGCTCATGCTTGTGCTGCATTTGGCCCACCCAGGCAAACTTAACCCCTTTGTTGTCTGAATGCAAAGCCTTCTGATTAGCGTTGGATGGGTCAGTTTCCCTCCTTTGTCACTGTTTGTCTCCCTCTCATTCACACACACCAGTGATGAATGTCACATGTAAAAATAAGTTAAAAAGAAGAAAGAGGAGATCAACTACTGAGTAGGGTACTTGTGCCCCAGTGGGTAAAGAAAAAGTTTTTAGAGGCCTTGGAAATTTTGTAAAGAGTAAAACGAATCTGAAATTTTAAAGCAATATTTCATGTCGGGTGGTTAAAACTAAATATTGCATTGCCTATATTCATTTTCTGGATTATTGAACTTTTTTGATCTCACATTGGAGAAATTTTCCTCTGCATTTAACCCATCCCCTTGGGAAGCAGTGGGCTGCCATCGTGGAGCGCCCGCGGAGCAGTATGGGGTTAAGGGTTTTGCTCAGAGACCCAGAGTGGCAGTCTGTTGGAGTGGGTTTCGAACTCACAACCTCTTGATTCCAAGCTCTATGCCCCAACCTCTAGGCCGCCACAATGTCACTCATTAATA